AGACTGGTTACCTCTGTAGAAGCACAAGTCGAAACGCAAGACAGCTGCTACTCGCTGGGCACTAAGTCGAAACGAGAGAGTTACTCACTAAAACTTGAGATGAAGACTCATTAAAAATGAACGAGAGAGTTACTCATTAAAACTACCTAAGTCGAAACTTTTTCTTTTTATCCCTAAAAGAGCCCGCTGGAGGATTGCTTTGCTTTCTAACATCTCTTTCTGTTATCAAAATGCTCTTTAGCACTAGGCGTCTAGTAAGCGATAGCTATCGCTTACCTAGACAAAGGCCGAAGCACCACAGACACACTTCAAGCACAAACTCGTATTTGTAAATAAATCTAGTTAGAACGGCCTCGGCCAAAGTCTTACATAGCCTCGAGCTCACTAGACTCTAATGGAACAATAATAATAACGGGGGAGCTTTGTAAGATGTCGTTAACATGTTCGACTATACTGTATTTGGTGATAGCTAAGTTGGCTCAAGCGCTGAAAACATGTGTAAAACAATGTTGGAATACACAATCATGAAAAAAAAACTTTGACAAATCTTGTTCCGCAAGCCCACCTGATGGAACAAACGCAAACCGCAATCATTTTCAAATGAATGCAGCACATGATCTAAATCTATGCGCATAAGGTCAAAATAAGTGTGTGGGTCCGTAAACAAAGATATAAAGGGTAAATAGATATGAGCATATCCTTCAATTCAGGCACTGAGATATAGATATTTTTCCTATAATTCACACTGACATATTTAGCGATATACATGCTGAGTTTTTGTCTTCACTCATGGCATCTTGCAACCTAGAGACTAGTAAGTTTTCAACTTGGAATATTTGTGGTTTGTTTGGGTCTAAGTAACTTAGAAGGAAGTTTAGGCAAATAACGTACGGGATTGGGAGGCAAGGGGGGCGCATGGCGAGAAGCCACAGCGGCCTGCCCTCTCCGCCGCCGACCCCGCTGCATATCATAATGCACGGGTATCAAACTATTTCCCCAACGTCGTCCATGCCATAGAACAATAGCAGGTCAGCCACCCCGACCACCCCCCCCCCCCATTCTTGGCGACGCATGCGCCTGGGGGGACTCTCTTGGGTCCAAAAACTTACCGTTGAACGAAGCCCTAAAGACCAAGGCTTCCATCAGGAACTCGTTCCTGTGGGAAGTGGCAAGGGAAGCTTGCCGAGGGTCCGCAAAGATGGATTATATCCTGCGAACAATCAAGGGGCTACGTAAGAGCAAGTGAAAGCAAACTCACCTGCGAGCACCCTGTGTGTATATAAACAACAACTCCTCGGAGAGTCACAGTTTTTCTGTTCAGCTGCGTTATATAAACTACACAACCAACCAGGACACGAGAGATCAGTTTGTCCTTCCACTGTTGCAGACGATGCGAAAAGACAGGCCACCAGGCATATTTTTTGCAAAGAGCTAGTAACCTGGAATCGCTACGACAAGAAAAGGCCAGAAGAAAAAGACCAGCAAAGGCACTCGCAAGTCCTATAGCAAGTCTGATTATAGAACTACTGTTGGAGGGTAGAGATTGATAGGTGATGGATCAGATTAAGAGAGAATTGATCAGATTACTCTTGCTATCTGTAGGACTTAAATCTATTGAAATATATAGACATGCCAAGAAGGAGATATCTAGTAACTAATCACCACGTTGCTGACCCACACATTACATCTAACCAAGTACTCTAATAGTCCCTTGATCATGTGATGCTGGGTGCTTGATCCATACCGCGACAACTACTAATTATACAGAAACAGTTTGCAAGAACTCCAATGTAGTTAGGCATTTGTTAGCAGATTGTCTGCAGAGACCAAACAAGTTCAAATTTGCGCCTATTAAGCCCAGCAGCTCTGCTCCTACGAGCAAGTTCAAAGCCACAGCCACCGAACCAAAACTTGCTTGTAGCAGCCACTCCTACTTGAGTTATCGCAGATAAATCAAAAACAGCTACACACAATCACAATGTCCGATTCCAAGAATGAAGACCTTCCCAAGGATCACAAAGATCTTCTCAACAGTCACAGTCATGGTACGTGTTCATCTAGCTTAGTCTATGTAAACCCAGCTGATAAATCTATTAGTATTAGACGTTAATGCACCCGCCTTTAACCCACGCTCCACTCCCATCCAAAACCCGGTTCAAGAAAATGCAACTGAGAATAATCACAACAATACCGGCACTCCGCATCTCCCCCCTCCAGCTGGCGCCGACCCGGACCTATGGAAAGTCCTATGTAGCGGTATACCCAACCACGCCTCCTATCCACAACACAACGCACTAACCACTCACCTTAGGCCCCCAAACCATCGACATAACCACTGAACGCAACCAATCCCCCCCTTCCCATCCCCATTTCCTCCGCGACATCACCTGCAGCCCTACAACGTGGCACACCACCGTGCTCCCCTGGATCCTGACGCTAACCTTCCGGCTCAACTCGACAACCGACATCTTCCACTTCACCAGCATGCTACGCGTACCGTCTCTCTCCTCACTACAAACCTGCATTACGGCGCTTGACCTCCGCGGCTTCCACTGGTTCACCGGCATCGGGGGCAACCGAGTCGCAAACCCGTATGTGGAGCTGGCGACGCATCTGCCTGCGCTGCGCGCGCTGCGCTTCTCGCTGCATGCCGCCGGCGTGACGGTGTCGCGGTGGAGCGAGAAGCGCGCTGTGGAGCTGGAAGCTACAGACGCCGTGCTGGCGCGCAGGAGGCGCATCATGCGGTGCAGCGAGGTGTGGGAGAAATACGGGATTGGCGGGTTACTGCGGTGCGAGGTGCTGGAGTGGATTGGAATTGTGTATGTTGAGAGCGAGATTGTGAATGCATTTTCTGCGCCTTGGGATCCGGAGGGCGTGGTGACGGCTGTGGGGGAGGCGCTGGTAGATGGGTTTCGGAGGGGCGGAAGGGAGGTTAGCGTTGAGGTGTTGAGGGAATGAGGTGGCGGTGTGTGGGACAGGGAGTGTTGGAATCCCGGCCAGTTTTGCAAATTGAGTGGAATTTAGTGCTAGATGGAAGGGTCTTTGGAATGCAGGATGCGAGCGGGGATTCGAAATCTGGCAATTTTGCAATGCACTGCGGCTTGTGGGACGTTGAATTGATCCCGTCCTCACTTTCATTAGACATTTAATTTGAATATATGATGTTTTTCTTGGTTTGCCACAGTAAAATGCTACGTTACATCCCATCTAGAACAAAAGGGAACATTTCTTCCGTGCTGAAAGCCGCTTACTGCCATATTCCCCCAGCTCCATGCAGCGCCTGCGCCAAATGAAGGGAAACTTTTGCGCATGCCAAAGACTGGCTATTTTGGGTACCTAGACATCCTATCTACATTTGAGTATGCTATAAATAAAAACATTATATCAATATATGCTTTCTCAGCTAAGCGATAATATAAAAACTCGTAAGGAAAGAAAAGTTCCGTTCCGGAAGGCCCGTAGGCTACATGGTGTTTTGGACGCCTGCTGAATGCAAAAGGAGAAAATAAAGAGTGTATGAGAAATAGAGGTGTACATCTGTCATGTGTGGGCTTAGCAAACAATGTCAAGACCATCGTTGGCGTCTTCTCTCATGCAGACTTCCTCGTACAAGCTCTTGAACCAGCTGCCATGGCGATCCAGGAGCTTGTGAGGTCGGCCGTATTCGACAAGTTGACCCTTGTTCATGACGACGACCTTATCAAAGTCAAGAATGGTTTCGAGTTTGTGAGCAACGGAGATGAGGGTATGGTGGGGGAACTTGGAGCGGAGCAGGCGTTGGACGTGAGCATCTGTTGTTGCGTCGAGGCTGGGGTATCGTTAGTGGCTGCTATCGTTATAAATATATGAATTAAGACTTACTTGCTGGTGGCTTCATCCATGATGACCATGCTCGCCTTGTCTTTGCGCAACATGGCGCGCGCCAAACAGAACAGTTGGCGCTGACCGTGAGAAAAGTGGAGGTCGTCGACTTCAACGTCGAGCGGATGGTTGTACTTTTCTACATCTCCCTTAGCGACGATGATGTCCCAGAGCTGAACATCTTTCATGGCAGCCATGATGGCCTTGTCGCTGGATTCGCCCAGAGGATCCGCATTGAGGCGCACAGAGCCAGGTAGCAGGTACGCATCCTGTGGTAGACCAATCAGCCGGCTGCGGATGGTCTGGCGCGGGATCTCGTTGAGTGGGAGTCCATCAATGGTGATGCTACCAGAGGAAACCTCAATCATGCGGAAGAGAGAAAGAATTAACGAGGACTTTCCACTGCCGGTCCGGCCGACAATGGCAATCTTTTCGCCAGGCTTAATGGAAAAGGTAAAATCAGAGACTACAGGTTCGCCGGGTCTGTAATGTCAGCCTATGTATCTTAGAAAAAAGGTAGAAACTTACCGATGGCATGCTTCCACGTTCTTAAACTCAACTCTCCCAGAGCTTGGCCAGTTAGGAGGCGGAACATGATCTTCCCCCTCTTTGTCTTCCCTGATGGCTTCAGTTGTAAAGCTCTTGACTCTGGCTACACTGCCAATGTGTGTTTCTAGCTGCGTCCAGAATGTGATGAGCAACTTGATACTCTGTGAGAAGAGCACAACGTTGAGTAGAGCAACACCGACATAACCAGCGTTCAGATCTCCTCTTAGAGTTACCACGAGAACAATGAGAATAGTAGCCACTGCAGCGACTACTAAATCCAACACCAGAGTCAACCAACGCTGGATCGAGAAGAGCATGTAGAAAGGGCGTTGGCTGCGATCAAGCAGGGCTTTAGCTTTCTTCTCGACGAAACCCTGCCAGCCAAACGCACGAATGGTGGGAAGACCCTCCAAGATTTCGCTGAACTGGGTATAGAGGGGCGACTTGGCTTCCAGATCTAGGAAACGAAGCTGGCGCGACGTGCGGAGATAGAACTTCTGAATAATGAAGACCACAAGAGCTACAATGGGGAAAGAGATGACGGCATAAGGGGCTGCTACGGCGATGAGAGCCATTTGGCCGATGCAAAGAACAAACGTGGCAAAAGTGTTCAATGCGGCCAGGGGCAATTCCATGTCGATCAACATGAGATCTTGACTGAATCGGTTGAGCGTGACTCCAGAATCGGTTGTGGAAAAGAAGGACATGGGCGATCTTGGCCTGTTAGTCTTTCGGTCCTATTGATAAAGACAGACGCAACTTACCCGAGTACCGTATCCAAAAGCTTCTTGTGGAACGCCACTCCCGAACGAGGAACCATGGTGATGATGAGCTGCCAGCAGCTGATGATCAGGAAGATCAGAGCCAGACCTCCGAAGGTGGCATAGATACCTAGCCAGTATCCAAGACGCTGGTTCGGGTGATCTTGGTTGAATTCTGCCCACATCTTGACCCAGACGGTGGGGAAGGAGATGCCGAATATGAAGATAACAATCGAAACGATGAAGATGATAGTAGGAATCCATCCCACTGAGCCAATGTAGTACTTATAGATAGCGATGTCTCCTGTACGGCGATTGGCCTCGGCTTGGATTTCGTCTTCTGTGATCTTGCTGTTGTCTGTTTGCCGCTCAGTGTACCTGGGAGGAGCCTCGTACACGTGCTTCTGTGGGCTGTAGTCCCAGTCGGCTTGCGGGAGATCAAAGCCTGATACGTAACCGCCTGAGCTGTTGAGCTTGGCGAAGCCTCCTTGCTCTGAAATCCTTCCATCTTGACTAAGAGCGACAATGTGATCACAGTAGGGCAGTCGCTTTGCTGCAGACATAAGTAAGCCAAGGCACATCCATCAAACAGAACCATCACATACCAGATGATGAAGAAATGAGAACAGTCGTCCTAAAACGCCTGAGTAGGCCTTGTTTTCCGAGGAGGCTATGCCAGATGCGGTTCTCAGTCTGTCCGTCAAGACCAGTGAGGCAATCATCAAGAATAATGATGTCTTTTTGTGCATATACTGCTCTAGCGAGAGCCTATAAAGCATATTAGTCGTAAATCTAAAATGGAAGTGGGAGATCTCACAATGCGCTGGCTTTGGCCTCCACTCAATGCGATTCCCTTGCTGCCAATCTGAGTTTGGTCACCCTGAGGCAACTGGGCGAGATCTTCATCCAGGGCACAGCTTCGCACAACTGAAGAGTACCAACGCTGGTCAAAGTCTGATACGCCAATGATGCTCTCCTGCACGGTTCCATTTACGTGCCATGGAGTCTGGTCGCAGAATGCAATACGCAGAGATGAAATGTGGATGGAGCCACCCATGACTGGCAATTCTCCCAACACAGCTTTGACTAGAGTCGATTTACCGCATCCTACCGGGCCCACGACCATGGTAATCTTACCGCGCGGGACGGACATGTCGATCTGCTGTAAGCTGCCTTCGGGCTGCTTCTCCGGGTCCCAACCAAAGTAGCCATCTTCAATGACTATAGCTTGAGGGCCAAGCGAGTTGGACTCCTTGATCTCAACGGAGGTGCGGCTCTTCTGAGAAACGACACTGCTCTTTTCAGATACACTGCTTGTATCTGAATGGCACGTGATGCTAGAAGCGTAGGGTGACGCAAACCTGCGGCGTTCAGCTCGAGGGTCCTTTACAATGAACTCTTGGATTCGCTGGAACGATCCCACGCCACCCATTAGAGTTGAAAGAGCCATAATCAGTGAACCAAGCGGTTCGGTAAGCAAAGTGAACAAAGAAAGCGAGGTAAAGACAGTGGCGGTATCAAGCGCGCTTTTGCCGTCGCTATTTTGCGCAATGACGGAGAAGACGGCAAATGCCAAGATTGGAGAGGCAATGGGCGAGATGTAGGCTATGTCGCATTAGCACATGATTAGGAGAGGTAAACATTCTACGACTTACTGAAACCCATAGTCCAAATCAAGAGCTTGCGAAATTTCTTGGAGATATTCAGCTCCTCAATTCGAAGCTTGTGCAAATCTTCGCGCAGGACTTCTGTAAGACCGCCCATCTTAACTCCCTTCATGGAGTTGAGCATGGCGCTAGTAGCAGCTATACGTCGCTCAATACCCTCGAGCCAGAGTGCTTGACGCTGCATTACCAGACTGGTGGCGGCAATCGAGCCAATTAGAGACAGCACTGCAATGCCAATGGGAATGGCACAGGCAGCACCCAGCTCTCGCTCAAGTAGATACATGGCAAGGCCAATCTCCAAGGTATTTGACCAAATCTAAAAAATCGCATATAAGCAAATGTATGAGGAGTAAATGTGTAATTGATGTGCCTTACCTCATGGCCAGTCTCCATACCAGTCACAATGCGCTCAACATCAGCACTCATCAACGTGAGGGAAGAAGCAGTATCGACATCAGTAAGTGCCACCTCTGTGGCTTTGTTGTACAGCATTGAGATGAGGCCACCTCGCATCTGGGTAATGAAGCGAAATGTCAAATGCATATACTGGCCGGTAGAGACCTAATAGTAATGTCAGTGATAATTTCGACGATCTATAAATCGACAGGACGACCAACCGCGATGCCAACAAAAACAAGAATATAGGCGCCGATGAGTCCATAACCAATGTTTTTTGATTGTGGACTTTGGGCCTCCTGTGAGTACTTGACAGCTCTATTGATGAGAAATGGCTGACAAAAATTGAAGCCAATCAAACACAGGCGAGGTGGAACAACGGCCAAGATGGACCACTTCAACCTTCCCAGAGTCGTTGTGAAGAGAGAATTGGGGGCTGGACTTTTCACTGTGGCAGCGGTTATTGTCAGTCAACCTGGAGGAGCGAGCAAGGTAGGGATGAACTTACATCGCGCCCATGCTGAGCTAAGGGCCTCATGCATATAGTCTGCGCGTAGAGTCTTGTCCAAGTGGTACAGATCGTCCACGGTCAAAGCGTTTGAATAGCCTTTTTTGAACAGCGCGTTGAGCCACCAGAACGATGCACGCTTGTATATACCGCTTGTGGACTCCGGCGGACAATCAGCGTACTCGGGGAGAAGATGCTTTCGCTTGTCTCTAGCCTCGGCTACTGCTAGGAATAGCTTGACTGCAAGACGTGTAGCAAAGACGTGCGCAACAGTGCTCAGATCAGGGGATAGAGCATAGCTACGGGAACGCTCAATGTCGAACAGAAAGGTGAGGCAAAGGTACATGTTCAGAGAAAGCGAGGGCCGGATTGAGCGCATGTGTTCGACAAACGAAAATGTACCTAGTATTAGGGCACCCACGAAACTAAGGGCAGCAGCGGGGATCTCGGCAGAGGAATGTCGTGTTTTGCGCTTTGCCCACACGACGAGGAGGGCCAGCTCGAAGCCGGCGAAGACAGCCCATCCTATCTTTTGTGCACATGTTAGCCATCGGCAGTGGAAGTGGCTGCGGTGCATACCAGCTTTATGTACAGTGAGTTTGATTTTTGGACCTTGTTCTGCTTCCTCCAAAGATAGGCGGCCCTGAATGGCACAATGATTAGGAGTATAGACAAAGGTAAAATGCAAAGAAAGATCTCGGTAAAGAGAAGAGTAAAGGAAAAGCCGCCTCGACAGTGAGGTCCTGCATAGGGACCGAAAGTGTCGTCCACCAAGGTGCAGTTCACATTCGGAGCCTTAGTCTTGACAAGCATGACTGGACTGATTGAAGTTGATCAGGAATTGCGAAGAGGCATCAGAGTAAGTACGACTGGGAAGAGGGAGCTCACAATTTGCCGTCCCCTTATGCTTCAGGAAGTTTCAGACAATTTGATCATCGAGTGGGCCGGTGGCAGAATGTTGCTTTCCTTCTTTACCTACCTCGTCCATGTGCCCACACACCTGCACACAAAAGGCTTGGGCTCTACGGTAGTATGTGAACAAGGCCCCAGACGGCCAATGCTCTGCAATGCCACTACACAAATGTTCCGTAGTGCACAGACACCACTGTTCTCCTTAGTGAGACTGCAGCTAAGGTTTACGTAGCTCTAGTACATTGCGCATGTTTCTGGAGTCCCATGTTGATGGCAGGAGATCGGCATGCTCACTGGGATCGACTTCGTATCGCCCCAATACAGCAGTCATGCAAAGGCTGCAGAGAGTAATTGCGGATCGCTCATGTCCCGTTCGGCAATTGAGGGCATGAATACACACGTCTGGAAACCTGATGCGAGGCTAGTACATGCTTGTTGCATATGTATGTACATTGACAAGACGTCCAAGGTGCCAAGGAACGTGCATGGGCACACGCATCTGGTTTAGCCGCCTTTGCATCCGAATTCGCAGTTAGCGATCGGCGCCACCCCCGTCACCCTGCGTTCCAACATTAGCTGACGGCGGCCCGGGAAGCGATCCTCAACCTTAATTGCGCGACCACGCTGTCGCCTTGGCACGACTCAAGCGCGACCTTACTGCTTGTGGCTGCCGGGGTTACTCTTGTCACCAATGGCCGTCGGATGCGATTTGCCCTGCCACCTAAGCAGTAAAACGACAGGCTTTCTTGTTCCCGTTGGTGTCACCAAAAATATTGACGTCGTTCGCCCCAGACAAATCAGTCTTTGGCTCCATTTGACATGGAGATCGGCACATGGCGTACCACCATTCCGCCAGAAAAGACCAGGGCACTGCTACCGGCCCTTTGTCGGCCTCGAACCCAATGCGTCTGCATTGGAAGCCTGAAATCGGTACACTAGACGATAAAAGGTAGACGGGTGGACGGGAATACGATGCCAGCCTTGAGTGGGCCTTGTGGCTGTAGAAAGGAGCCTCTTGCGGCTGCACTAGTTTCCGTGTACTGTTTCTGTGAGCCAATGACCTGACAGAGCATACGAGGGCCCAAGTCCACCAGGCCACGTGTGCTGTGACTGCAAATGTTGAACAGAATTTGCTTGGTTCCCTAAGACTGCCTACGACTGATCTGCAATCCCATACCTTGCAAGAAGGACCGGGCTTGTGGATCGACATTCCCATGAGACGACAATAAAAGTTAGCGTCCGTTTGATATCCGGACTGAAACGACTTGGTTTTTGGAAATAGGCTAATTTTGCGGCTGCCGATGGGGGTCGCCAGCTGGTTTTGTGTCTGTATGGAGAGTGACGTGAAACCCATTCAAACAGTGGCTGAAGAAAAGCATTGCTTCTCACAACGCTTTCTTTCTAGAAGACCATGTCTGCTTGACAAGAACCGAGTTGTTTCGAGTGCTACTGCAGATTTCACGCCTGGCATAGAAGAGCGTGCAAGAAAGAGGCTCCACGTCGGTCACCGAAAGAACGCCAATGCAATGAAAGGGACTGGTGGGCTGGTTGACCATAGGGGCCAGGCGAATATGGCTTTCTTGGAGGCCCACATAGTAGTAATGAGCAAGCCATTTGCCGTTTTTGGTGCGCGAGGACGTCTAGTTCATACGTAACAGTGACAATTGATGCAGCGCTAAGCAGGCGAAATTTGGTTCAAGTCATGACGGGCGCTCCGGAAAGATGCTAAGAGAGTCTTGGTTATTGATGTCGTGCTTGTGCCTCGTGACGAGCGAACAGTGGCTAGCTGAGCGATGGAAAAATGGACCGCTAGGTGCTTGGGAGGACAGGCTAATCCAGGGCCTTGGACCGGTTCGGCGACTAGGTTTTTGAAATTCGCCGTGACGGGGCTCCGGACAGTAGCCAGCGGCGCGAAGGAAGAATACACGGTGTAGACTAGGCGTGACGATGCAGAATGCTGTGGAGCCTGTCGAGTGGCTTGTCATACATGAGGCCTGGGAAGCAACTGTCGCACAGCGTTGTGGCGTGAGCCCGAAAAGGTACCGAAGACACGAGCAGCCCCAGGAGGAGACGAGCGTTGGGGCGTGCAAGCAAATGGGGTCGAGACCTGCGGCCGGGTCTCTGGGATGCAGCGGCTGGAGCCGGCAGAGGGCCAGTGAGCGATTACGACGGGTCACGACACTGCATATGGCCTAGCGGTAGGTGGAGCACTGAGGGTCCGGTAGCCGTTTTGCGCACAAGACCAAGACGTGCCACGACAATGACAGGCGGCATATGGATACCCACACCCCACAGGACGGGAGGGCCGGCGCTGACACTGACACGAGAAGCCGTTCGGGGCGGCACCCGCAGCAATGCAAGCAAGCAGATGGCGAGGTGGCAGTGGCGTACGCGGAGACGGCGGGGAGGGCACTCGGCGGGCGGAACGGGCAGCGGGAGGATGGCGGTGGTTGGAGCTGGTTGGAGCGGGGTACGAGAAGGCGTCGGGGGTGCATGGCTGGTGATCGATGACGACTGCTGCTGGCGCGTAACAGGCGTAGGGGCAGCCGCTCCTCGCCATGTCTTCCGAGGGCGAGTGTGCGTGTGCGTGTGCGTGTGCGTGTGCGTGTGAGTGTGGGTGTGAGTATGTGCAGATGCAGCCACCCTGGCCCCCTCGCAAGACCCGAGGAGAAGGAGAAGAAGGCGAACAAGCAAGCATTGGGGCGCATTGCTGCTGTTCCCCTCACGCTCCGGCAGACCGAGGCGTGTTGATCCGGGCGCGGTGCGGCTAGATCACTTCGGGCCACGCTACTCTATTCTTGGTATCGCGCACACTGCCACTGCTGCCTGGTGCATTACATAAGCACCCGCTAGCCCTGGTCTTCGCCCATCTCCTCCGCCCCCCTGGCGCTTGGCCAAAGCTGCCAGCCATTGACGCGCCGCAGCCTTCGTCTTCGCTCCTCTCTACTCCACCGCAACACGAGGGTCCACTGTCCGCCATGCTCACGCCACAATATGGATGAAGTCAAATTTTCTAGCTTGTAGCAGCCTCACCGTCACCGTTGCAACATCGTGCATCGCGCCTGCCCTTGACGCCGACAACATGGCCCGCCGCCTCGTGCCGCCGCGCAACCATCCATCCATCCATCTATCCATCCATCAGCGCGTTGCTTTTCCGTGTTGAGACACTTGGACTCGGGCCGCTCTCCTTTTGGTGCATCTGGCTTTCCCAGAAGAAAAGGGCCTCTTAGTACACCATTCATAGGCTGCCACTGCCTGCTGCCACCACCCTTCGCGACAGCTCAAGCCGCCGATCTTCCCCCTCCCATACATGTCTATGGCCACACGCTGGTCTTTGCAGCTAGCGTCTCCTCTGCTCGACGACGACACCTGCTTGTATGCCTGCAAGTGCCGGTTGTTTGGCCTCGCATACCTTGCCTTGGGCGTCCAAGTGGCTTGGGATTGACGAAAATACCTAGCAGACATTTGATTCCCAGCTGCGCAGCCTGGCGTAGGGGCGCCTCGGAGGTGCTAGGCCATGCGGGCGTCACACTACTTTTCCAATGCATGCAAGAGGGAATTGCAATGTTCAAAAGAACTTTCCGAACTGGGCTGAACACCTCAGGCTATTGCATATTTTCCGTCATTGACATCTCGACGTGAATGCTTCTGCTCTCTACTAATTGTTTTCTTGGGCTCTGCTGTCGCCATTGTGAGCATTCTTGTGCCTTGCACACTCCCCCCTCTCCCCCCACGCCTTTTGCGGTAAGCAATTATAGTTACAGACCACTAACCCACAGAACTATCTCACAACTTTGGACTGGCTGAGGTACATTGGTCATTTCGCTCCTCACCAGGGTGCAGCCTAGTCATCCCAATCGCGCGTTCACACTTCCCTACCAGCAATGGCTTCCAATGCGAACAATCACATGGAGCAATGTCTCCAATCCATCTGGGCTCATGTCCTTAACCTGCCACATGTTCCTCTCGACCAATCTTTCCTCTCTCTAGGCGGAGACTCTATTTCCGCAATGCAAGTCGTTGGTCAGTGCCGAAAGGACGGCATGAGCCTTGGCGTTCAAGAGGTTCTACGAAGCCGGTCCATCGCCCAGCTGGCAACTGCGGTCAAAGACGTCGAGAGCTCGTCTTACGACCACCAGGAATACTTTGATGAAGAATTTGACCTCTCGCCCATTCAATCGCTCTACTTCCAACGACCAAACACAGATGGCCACTTCAACCAATCTTTCTATCTACGAGTAGCTCGCAAAACCAGCCAAAACGAATTTCATGCTGCAGTCAAACAGCTCGTCACGCGACACTCCATGCTACGCGCGCGATTTTCTTATTCCGCCCAACGAGGATGGCAACAGCGTCTCACAAGTATGACACCCCACGTCACACTGCTCCTGTTACACTGCTTGCCTGCCCCGGGCCCTCCACTCATTCGATTTCCCGCTCTCTCTCTTTGTGTACGACTGACTGTTTTGCAGATGACATCGATGGCTCATATCGGTTCCGTCATTTAGCTGTAACCTCTCAAGCCACAATTGACGCCTCCATCGCGGACACGCAGCAATGTCTTGATCATGCTGCAGGTCCATTATTCGGTGCAGACTTTTTTGACTACGGTACCCAGCAATTTGCGTTCCTCACTGGTCACCATCTGGTTGTTGACTTGGTCACGTGGCGATTGCTGTTGGAAGAGCTCGAAGAAATCTTGAAGGGCGGACAGCTCCTTGCCCCTGCACTTCCATTCCAGAAATGGGCGGAACTGCAACAAGAGCATGCCGAGTCTCTAGAGCTCAGTGAGCTTCTTCCCGAAGTACAGGTTCCTCCCTTGGACTTCTCTTACTGGGGCATCCGGCATCAGGATAACACCTATGGCAATGCCAGCCATGCCAGCTTCGAACTCGACAACGATCTCAGCTTGGCATTTCTCACTACCTGTCACAGTGCCTACAGTACAGAGCCGGTTGAAGTCTTACTTGCATCATTAATTCAGTCTTGGTCTCAAGTTTTCACAGATCGCCCGATACCTGCTATATTCAATGAAGGCCATGGTCGCGAGCCGTGGGACTCCACTATCGATATCACGCGGACAGTAGGATGGTTTACCGCACTATCACCTATTCTTGTAACACCATCCGATAAACCTACCGACACTGTCCGTAAGACCAAGGATTTCAAACGCCGGATTCCCGGAAACGGTCGGCCATATTTTGCTCGGCGCTGTCTTACACAAGATGGTCGTGAAAATTTCAAATCGCACTGGCCAATGGAAATCCTATTTAACTATCTTGGTCAATACCAGGTACGTTGATCTATATCCTATCGATCATTCACATTTGACTGATGGATTTGATAGCAACTCGAGAGGGCAGATGCACTTCTGCAACCCCTAGGTACCATGGCCGGTGAGACTGGCAAGGCTGGCGGTACCTCTGACTTTGGCCACCGTACTTGCAGATGGGGTCTTTTTGAGATCTCCGCCTTCGTGTTCAAAGGCCGTCTTAAAGTTGCGTTTACTTTCAATCGGGACATGTCCCATCAAGCGCAGATTCTGAGATGGATCTCCGAATGTGAGGCAACGATTTCAAACATGATTCGTGGTCTCAATGCACTGGATCCAAAGCCGACTCTCAGCGACTTTCCCCTACTCCCCCTGACCGAAGCAAGCTTCGAATCAATTCTTGATAGGCTTTCAACAATGGGCATCCCGGATACTGATATTGAGGATATATACCCTTGCTCCAGTATGCAAGAAGGTCTCTTGTTATCACAGACCAAAGACTCGGGATTCTATGCTGCGGCCACCCTTCATGAAGTCGTCACACCGACGCCGCATATGTCCTGTCAGATCGTGGCTGGGGCTTGGCAACAAGTTGTGAACCGTCACCCTGCGTTGCGAACCATCTTCATGGAGAATGTGGGCGTCAAGGGTCTGTACAACCAGATCGTCCTCAAACAAATCGAAGCCAACATCGTCTACCTCGAGGCAACCAATGAGCAGGATGCCGTAAAGCCCATCGAAAACCAACGGTCAATACCTTATAATTACGGGCGGTGTCCAAATCACCGCTTCACCATCTGCACCACAGCCGATCAAAGAACCTTCTGCTCTCTAGACATCAGTCACGCGATCATGGATGGACATTCCATGAGCTTACTGATCAGCGAACTGCGGACAGCATGTGAGGGACAGCTTTTGCTTGACAGTACCCCGCTCAGCGCGTACATCTCATGGCTTGGCCGCCAACCCGAAGAAGCCAGCCTTGATTTTTGGAAATCTTACCTGCATGGTAGCGAGATCTCTTCCTTCCCAGCACTGGATGACGGCCAGGGCCATCTTGTGGAAAAAGATCTCGTGACCATTCGCATGGATTTGACTAGCATCAGCTTGACCGACTTACAGAACTTCTGCAACGCCAACGGAATCACACTGTCGAACGTCTTCCACACAGCATGGGCGCTCACACTCAGTTGTTATATCGGAAGCAAGGATGTCTCCTTTGGCTATCTCACATCTGCGCGAGATTCGGAAGAGATTGAAGGCGTCGAGAGTATCGTTGGGCCACTGATCAATACCCTTGTATGCCGGGTCAACTTGTCAGATGCCTCACGATGTCTTCTCGATATTTTGCAGGACGTCCAGAGGGATTACATGGAGGCGCTTCCCCATCGCCACACAGCTTTGGCTGATGTGCAACACGCTCTCCAGTTATCGGGTGGAAACCTGTTCAACACTGCGCTCTCCTATCGTCGCTTGCCTCAAGAGCATACGGCTGATAGTTCAGGTGTCATTTTGCACCAAGTTCGCCCTATTTATGATCCTACCGAGTAAGTCCTAGCTAGCACGGCAACCACCCTTAACAAGACGGCCGGGACTGAGACTTATTGACATCATCCGCAGATATCCCGTCAGTATCAATATTGAAGTCGGCGAAGAGACCGCGGCAGTTGACCTCGACTATTGGACAGACCACCTCACTGCTATCCAAGCGACCAACGTTGCCAACACCTTTTTCCGAGCTCTCGAGAACATCTTTTCCAATGCCAAGCGGCCATTGTTCGCATTGGACCATTTAAGCACACAGCATGTCCAACAAATCTGCGATTGGAACATCATGCCAGCAACTATCAACGAGTGTGTACACGAAGTGTTTGCTCACTGGGCTGTAAGGCAACCAGAGGCCCCAGCAATATGCGCACATGACGGAGAATATACCTATGCCGAGCTCGACCGTGTGACTGATCGGTTGGCGCATCACCTTGTCCGGCTAGGTGTTGGGCCTGAGGTATTCGTCCCTACGTGCTTTGATAAAAGCTTGTTCGCCGTTGTCGCTATGCTTGCTGTTCTCAAGGCAGGCGGGGCTGCAGTTCCTCTTGACGCTACGCATCCCGCAACCGCGCTACAAACGCGTCTTGAGGATGCTGGAGCAAGCCTAGCCATGACAACAGCGGCACGCGCGGCAAAGTTTGAAGGGCTTGTAAATGAGGTTATCGTTGTAGACGACTTGTTTTTGCAGAGCCTCCCAGCAGTTCATGGTCCCGCCTGCACGAGTGTCCAGCCTCACAATCCGGTGTTCGTGATCTTCACCAGCGGGAGCACCGGACGACCAAAGGGCGTCGTCCTGGAACACGCAGCTATCGTTACCAGTGCGGAAGCTCATGGCTCAAAGATCGGGCTTGGTCAGAACTCACGCATGCTTCAGTTCGCTTCTTACACATTCGACAACTCACTGGAGGAGATGTTCACTACCCTACAGAGAGGAGGTTGTGTATGCATCCCCTCAGAGGCTGATCGTGTAAACGATCTTCCTGGTGCCATTGCTAGGCTTAATGTCAACATGATGGACCTTACGCCGACGGTAGCTGCATTGCTTCGCCCAGAAGAGGTTCCCACAGTAAAACGCATGTGTCTTGGTGCGGAGCCACTGACCAAAGCATTGGTTGAATTGTGGAGTCAGCATGTTGTGCTCATGGGTCAGTATGGGCCCAGCGAAGCGTCAATAAACTCGGCTTTCAAGGATTTCAGTGATGGTCGTGGTGAAGCCACCAATATAGGCAAAGCTGTCGGCTGCGTCACATGGATTGTGGATCCAGAAAACCGCAATCGCTTGATGCCAATTGGGTGCAAAGGAGAGTTGCTACTCGAAGGTCCGATTCTCAGCCGCGGCTATCTCAATGACATCGAGAAGACACAGGCAGCCTTCATCATAGACCCAGAATGGGCTTGCGCTAAAGGGCCGACCGGGCGCCGGCTCTATTGCACTGGAGACCTGGTCCAGTACACGTCGGACGGCGAGATGATGTATCTGGGTAGGAAAGACTCACAGGTCAAGCTGCACGGGCAGCGCATTGAGCTAGGCGAGATTGAGCACCATCTCAAGCTCAATCTTTCAGCCGGTGCTAAGTCGGCTGTGGAACTGGTGAATTTTAACGACAGCATTGGCAGCAAGGCGCTAGTAGCATTCTTGTGCCTCTCGGATGGAGACGAGGTTGCAGCAATCAGCGACATGACAGAGTCACTTCGGGTGGTGGCTAAGGAGGTTGAAATGGCGCTTGCCAATGCGCTCCCTGTCTATTACGTTCCCTCTGTTTTTATGCCAGTCACGCGCATGCCAATGACGACCTCAGGAAAGCTAGACCGCAAGGTGCTGCGGGCTCTCGCAGCGGCCGTCTCCGAGTCCCAGCTAGCATCCTTCCGCCTGGCAGGCAAAAGCGGCCGTGCGCCCCAAGGTCATGCCGAACTCACGTTGGCGCGTTTATGGGCTTCAGTTCTGAAACTGAATGGGGGAACAGGTGCTGTTGGCGCTGAAGACTCCTTTTTCCGGCTCGGCGGTGATTCAATCAGCGCAATGAAACTAGTGACCGCAGCTCGCAAGGATGGAGTCTTGCTGAATGTGGCCAATGTCTTTTCACATCCGAAACTGATGGACCTAGCCGCCACGGCCATTGTATCTTCTTCGGAAGAGGTTCGAGAAATCATTACCGACGTTCTCCCATTTGAGATGCTTGCAGCAGGCAATCGCCAGAAAATCCTTGAGCTGGCCGCGTCTGAGTGTGGTGTTCCCTCGAACTCCATTGAAGACATCTATCCATGCAGCAAACTTCAGGAGGGTCTTATAATGCTGACTAACAAGGACCCTGGAACTTATGTGATCCAGCCAGTATACAGCTTGCCAACAGATATCGATCTATCTCGCTTCAAGGCGGCCTGGAAGGCTGTAGTGGCAACTGAAGCCATCCTTCGTACACGTATCGTCTACTCTGAACAGTATGGTTTCATTCAGGTTGTTATACGGGAAGAGCTCCCTTGGCATTCTCTCTCTAACATCCAGGATGTCAATGAAAGTACCAGAAGACTCCCCGCCAAGAATGGTGCCCCTCTTACCACCTTTACGCTTGTAGGAGAAACGACCGCACAATCATTCTTTGTCTGGACCGTTCATCACGCTATATACGACGGCTGGAGCTGGAAATCTCTGTTCGAAAAAGTAGAAAAGCACTATCGCAACGATGGACAAGACATCCCGCCTGTTGTACCCTACTCACGCTTTGTCAAGTATCTCTGTTCGTTGGATCAAAGGGAATCTGACAATTTCTGGCTCTCACAACTCGACAACATCACGACTACTCAATTTCCTCAGTTGCCATCTCCAGATCACCACGTCCAGACAAATGGTCAGCTGCTCCGACGTTTACAGTTTACGCGGAATGCGGACCTGGAAGTCACGGTCCCGTCTATGATCCGCGCCGCCTGGGGCCTTCTCCTTGCCATATATTCTGGATCAGACGATGTAGTATGGGTGGAGACCAATAGTGGACGGGAAGCTGCCGTTCCAGGGATCGAGGCTATTATCGGTCCTACCATCACGACTGCACCCGTACGATTGCGGCTCAACCGTAGCTTGACTGTTCACGAATATCTGAAAGAGACTCAGCGCCAGTCAACGCAATCGCTGCCGTACCAGTTCGCGGGCCTACAGCACATCCGCAAACTGAGCTCTGAGACGGCCATTGCCTGCGAGGCCCAGAGCTTTCTCGGTATTGAGGCTGCCGATGAAAACGACACCAACAGCTCACTCTGGCATATGGAGAGTAGTAACACTGTTGGTACGGATTTCATCAACTATGCATTCATCTTCAACTGCAAAGTTGGCCCACATGATATCAGCGTGGAATCCTTGTTTGACGATCGCGTCGTAGACAGATGGCTCGTTGAGCGCATCGCCCAACAATTCGAATTTCTCATGGGTCAGCTCAATGCCAGCAGCAGCATCAACAAGAAGCTTGACAATGTCGAGCTACTGAATCCGTCCGACCAAGGTTTACTTCATACATGGAACAGTCAGCCTGTGGATATCATCTCTAGATGTATTCATAAAGTCATCGAGGAGGATCAGATTGCTCAGAGGCCCACTGCACCTGCAGTTGATGCCTGGGATACTGGTGTCATGACTTACAAAGAACTCGATGAGCGAGCTACTGCACTTGCGTATCGATTGACAGCCTTGGGTGTCAAGCGGAAACAGTTCATACCGATTTGCTTCGACAAGTCTGGCTGGACTATTGTTGCCATACTTGCGGTTCTCAAAGCAGGCGCAGCCTTTGTACCTCTGGACTTTGAGTCTCCAGTTCTTCGACTTCGCGAGATCATAGGCGATGTAGGCGCGGAATTGCTCTTATGTGCGCCGCAGTATGAAGAGCTCTGTGAGTCGATCCCATGCAAAGCCCAGGTTGTAGACAGAGAGACGACCATCTCCAACAAGAAACCCATGTTGCCCCTGCCTTTAGTTCACTTCAATGACCCCGCCTACGCATTCTATACCTCCGGATCGACTGGCAAGCCAAAAGGAGCCGTTGTAAACCACGTCCATTGGGTCACAAGTTCAACGGCGTTCGCCCCAGGCTGGAAGATATCAGAAGCATCGAGGATACTTCAGTTTGCTTCTTACACGTTTGATGCATGCTTAATCGAGATCTTCACTACGCTCATGAACGGTGGCACTGTGTGTGTCCCAGATCAAGCTTCTCGAACGAACGACCTCGTAGGCGCCATCAACAAGTTCAATGTGAACTGGGCTGCCTTGACACCATCAGTCGTCCGCACAATGACCCCATCGCAAGTACCGCACCTGGAAACCCTATTTTTGGTTGGTGAGGCCATGTCTCAGCAAGATCTTACCACTTGGGCTGATAAGGTCACACTCGGAAACGGTTATGGGCCAACTGAGTGTGCATGTGTTGCGACATGCAACATCATGACACCCCACACAAGACCAAACAACCTGGGCAAGGTCATCACCGCTAGAGGTTGGGTTGTTTCGAGAAACAACCACCATTCTCTTGCACCTGTCGGAGCCGTCGGCGAGCTGTTACTGGAAGGAGGGGCCGTTGGTGCTGGATATCTCAATAACCCAGAGAAAACAGCGGAGGCATTCCTTAAGGATGTGAAGTGGCCTGCAGGTCTACTGTACAGTCAGGATCCTGCACCCATACGGGTTTACAAGACCGGAGACTTGGTGAAGTACAATGAAGATGGTACCATGCTGTATCTCGGCCGTAAGGACTTCCAGGCTAAGGTTCGGGGTCAGCGCTTGGAACTTTCTGAAGTCGAGCATAAGCTCCTGGATGACCACATGGTACAGAGCGCCTTTGCCTCGGTCCCTACAAAGGGACCTTGTGCCAAACGACTAGTCGCAATCATCACACTGCAAAACGTTCTAGCTGGTCTGTCGAGTGGTCCAAACCCACTGCAGATTTTGCCCCAAGAAACCGCATCGCTTAGCGTCGCCAACATCAGGGACAGCCTTTGCGAACGCTTGCCGGCATACATGATACCGTCATTGTGGGTGGCTATCGATCGCTTTCCTTTGATGCCTTCAGGGAAACTAGACCGAAGACGTGCATTGCAGTGGCTAGAGGAAATTGATCAAGCAACATACCGAATGATCTCAACCATGGGTGTGGACGATGCAGAAGTCAACAGTGGAAGCTCTGTAGAGTGCAAACTCCAAGAGATCTTTGCGAAAACACTGAACCTTCCGACCAGCGACATCCGGCTCAATCAGTCATTCTTACATCTCGGTGGAGACTCAATTGCGGCTATGCAGGTCTCGTCGCAATGTCGGGCACAAGGCATGCCCATCAGCGTCAAAGATATCATCTGTGCAAAGTCCATCACTGCATTGGCCTCTATGGTTGATCTTTCTCAAGTTGCCGAACCTCTACCCGAGGTTGCAGAATACTCTTTGCCGTTTGGTCTCTCACCCATCCAGAAGGTGTTTTTTGAAACTGTGGGCGATTCCTACAACCATTTCAACCAGGCCGAAACCTTGAAACTTTCCCGGCATGTTGATGAGAAGGAGCTTCGAACTGCTCTAGTAGCTCTGGTCAAGATTCATCCTATGCTTCGCGGACGGTTCACTAGGAATGAGATCGGTATCTGGAAGCAGCGAATCGAACAAAGCGTCGATAACTCGTTCAGGTTACGACATCACCGGGTGCAAAGATTGGGCGATTCTGCCTTGCAGGCTGCATTTGACGAGAGCCAGGCCAGCTTGGACATTACGAATGGGCCTACATTCGCGATCGATCTTTTTGAAGCTGAGGATAATTTTTCTCAGGTACTGACGCTGGTCGCTCACCACCTGGTCATTGATATTGTCTCATGGGGTATTCTTCTTGAAGATCTCCAGGGACTGTTGAATGGGATTCAGCCTCCGCCTCAGAGCTTGCCTTACCATACTTGGTTGCAGCAACAATTCCTTCAGGTGAAACAAGAAAATGTTGGAAGTATATTCCCTGCTGTCGATGTTCCACCAGCCAGATTTGACTACTGGGGCATGGAAGGACGACCAAACCTCAACGGTGACTCAATTGGTGAGGAGGTACAACTGTCGACCCGGGATACACTGCTCCTTCTTGGGGCTCAAGATGCTTTGGAGACCGAAATTGTAGACATACTTGTTGCGGCGCTCTTTGAGTCTTTCCGGAGCACGTTCCCTGACAGGTCTACAATCTCAATACACAATGAAGGTCATGGTAGAGAAACGTTCAATTCTCGCCAGGATCTGTCACGTACAATTGGCTGGTTCTCGACCGCAACGCCCATCTTTCTGCCAGTACCTTTGGACGAGAAGACTGATATTGTTAGCACGATTCAATGGGTCAGGGACTTCAGGCTCCGAACTTCGGACAAGGGACGACCGTACTTTGCCTACAGAAATCTGACTGACGAGGGCAAGATTCGGTTTGCAAGCCACTGGCCCGCCGAGGTCTTGTTCAACTATGTCGGAAAGCTGCAACATCAAGATCGCAAGAGCGGGATATTCAATGCCTTGACTGAGTTGAATTCACTGGAGATCGGAGATCAGACCCCTCGTCTTGCCCTGTTCGATGTGACTGCTTCCGTCTCCAAGGGAGCTATCAAGATCGCGTTTGAATGGAACCGTAACATGTAAGCCATTTCCCCTTCTCAATTTTTCTTCACACATGAAAAATTCCGCTGGCTTTTTTATGTTCAGCATGCTGACTGATGTTTGTTTGATAGGAACCGACAAGAAGAGATAAGCTCATGGGTTAGCCAATGTCGCCAGACTCTTGTTGATGCTATCGATGAACTGTTGCAAGTTCGGCAAGAACAAAGCCTCAAGAATATTCGCGGTCTGCCACTGATTTACAATGGGATTGACCGGATCACAAAAGCTCTTCCTACGGACGTAACTCTCCCGGATGTCGAGGATATCTACCCGACATCCCCGATGCAGCAAGGTCTACTTTTCACACAATCCAAGAACCCAGATCTCTACACATATCAGACGATTTGCCAGGTGAAATCGACGGACAACAGCCCTGTGGACCCTCGCGGGCTTGCTGAGGCATGGCAGGTGGTTGTCCATCGTCACCAAGCCCTGCGTACTATTTTCATTGATAGTCTTGCTAGAAATGGCTCCAAAGATCAGATTGTTATCAAGGAGAAGGCTGGGAAAGTGCAGTTCCTCGCTGGTTGCGACGATCAACGGGTTGCGAGTGTGCTACACGAGCAAGCTCCCATCGACTGCCGCGAGGCTGCCCCACCGCACAGGATGACCATTGCTCAAACTAAGGCTGGAAAAGTTTGGATGAAGCTCGAGATTAGCCACGTAATCAACGACGGCACTTCGGTGTCCAACATGCTGGTCGATCTTGCTCGTGCCTATGCGAAAAAGCTGTCGAGAGCTGATACTGGCCCTCTCTATTCCGATTACATCGAATATGTCCTCTCGACCCCTAGGGATGCCGACATCGCTTACTGGAAGAACTACCTTGCGGGAATTGAGCCATGCTTCTTCCCGACCTTGAATGATGGTAAACCTCTCGACCGTAAGCCAGCTTCAGTCGTTGTGGAGCTGCGTCAGGTTGATCCAGTCCATGCCTTCTGTAGGCAAAATGGTGTTACTCTTTCCAATGTCCTTCAACTCGTCTGGGCTTTGACTCTACACTGTAAGCATCTCCATTCTATACTCTCTCTCGTGCTGGTTCTTGGTGTTGGCCTTTTCGGTTCGTCCGACTGGCAAAATATGATGTATTTTCTCCTCGCTAACTCAAGTCTCTTATAGGCTACGTCGGCGCTTCTGATGTGTCGTTTGGTTTGGTAGCATCAGGTCGCGACATACCTGTGAACAACATTGAGTCCGCTGTGGGGTGCTTCATTACGATGCTTTGCGCTCGTTTGGTGTTCTCAGATACTACTACCATTGCCGAACTCCTGCAGTCCCTTCAAGCAAGCTCTACGGATGCATTGTCTCATCAGAACTGCTCTCTCGCCGATGTTCAGCATGAGCTGCAACTCCCTGCTCTATTCAACACCGCTTTTACTTTCCAACGCCGGAGTTTGTCTCGCGATCCTGACCAGATGGCTCTTGTGTACGACGATATGGAAGCCGACGACGCTGGCGAGTACATCGTCACCGTCAATGCGGATGTCACAGACGACAGCATCATTGTGGACTTTGGCTATTCCAAAGACAAGATTATTCCTACTCAAGCTCAAAACATGGCCGATACATATGAAAAGATCCTGCAGGTCATCGTGGGAAATTCTGCTAGCGAGCTCACTGTCGGAAACGTAGACGCGTCCACGGATGGCAGCCTCCGTCAGATCTTGGGATGGAACTCGGAACTTCCGCCCCCCATCAACCGCTGCGTACACAGAGTCATCCACGATCAAGCTCTCACAAGGCCACGCATGACTAAAGCAGTCGAGGGATGGGATGGCTCATTCACCTACCAAGAGTTTGACCGGATCACCGACCAGCTGGCCGCTCATCTCCAGTCGATTGGCATCAAGACCGAGACATTCGTTCCTATTCTGTTTGAGAAATCTTCGTGGGCTATCATCAGTATGATCGCGATCATGAAAGCAGGCGGAGCATACGTGCCTCTCGATCCAAAGCATCCACAATCACGTCTCCGCGAACTGATAGGCGACGTTGGTGCAGAAATTGTCCTGTGCTCCCGTCAATACCAACCCAAAGCGGCGGAAGTGGCTAAGACTCCGATGATTGTTGATCAGCGATCAATAAAGAAACTAGCTCTGCCAGCATCTAGCGAGTCACTTGCTGCATCAACCCCAGACAATGCGGCATACTGCTTGTTCACATCTGGTACCACTGGAAAGCCAAAGGGAACCATCATTTCTCACCGGGCCTTCTGCACCAGTGCAGCTGCCTTTACGCGTCGCATGAACATCAATGCCACGTCGCGAACCTTCCAGTTTGCTTCGTACACGTTTGATGCTAGTTGTATTGAGATCCTCTCTGCATTGACAGTGGGTGCTACAGTCTGTGTACCGTCAGAGGATGACAGAATGAACAATCTGGCTGGCGCGATTCGTAAACTGAAAGCCAATTGGTCGCTCCTCACTCCCTCTGTTCTAGGTACTGTTGAGCCAGATCGCGTTCCTTGCTTGAAGACTTTGGTGTCTGGAGGAGAGGCGCTCCCAGGACATATTCTCAAGAAATGGGGTGCCAGTACATGTTTCATCAATGGTAAGGATTTCACATTTTGCGTTGTAATCGAAATACTAACATGAAATAGCATATGGGCCGACTGAGTGTTCAGTCGTAGCCGCCACTGCCTACAAGTCCACATTGGATCACAAATTGATTGCGTCCGAACCCGGCACTATCGGTACCGGAAGTGGATGTCGGTTGTGGATTGTTCACCCAAGAAATCACGACAAGCTCATGCCCGTCGGCACAGTGGGTGAACTAGTGATCGAAGGGCCTACCGTGGCCCGCGGATATCTGAACGAGGAAGAAAAGACTAGAAAAGCCTTCATCACTGATCCTGCATGGGTATCAACTATCGCTGCGCGAGTCGGCACATTCGAAGCTGTCCGTATGTACAAGACAGGTGACTTGGTCCGCTACAACAGCGATGGTTCCGTGAGCTATGTTGGACGCAAGGATACACAAATCAAGCTCAATGGACAGCGAGTTGAGCTGGGCGAAATCGAGTATCATGTTGCTCAGAACCTCCCAGAGAACGTTCAGTCAGCCGTGGAGCTGATTGCACCATCAAACCGGAGCACAGCAAAGGCTTTGGCAGTGTTCTTCGCCATAGCTCAACCTTCTACGGCTGATGAAGAAGACTCTGAACCGCCTGCATCGGCTGATGCAGCCTCTGAAGAGCTGCTTCTTCCACTGGACGACGAGCTGCGCGACATATGCAAGAACGCGGAAAATGGCCTCGCCGGATCATTGCCCACATACATGATACCCTCCATCTTTGTACCAGTCAAGAAGATGCCATGGACGTCAGCTGGAAAACTGGACCGCAATCGCTTGCGAGGATCAGTGCAAGATCTCACCCGTGACGCATTGGCCATGTACCGACTGAGCAGCATGGCAAACAAGAAACAGCCCACCACGGATGTAGAAAAGAAGATTCTCAGAGCTGTCTGTACAGTGCTCAATCTCCCTGCTTCTTCAGTTGGTATTGATGACAGCTTCATCGTAAGTTTGAACCCTGTTCTGACTAGTATTCGAAGTTGCTAACCCAGTACAGCGTCTTGGTGGTGATTCAATATCATCTATACGCCTTATTGCAATGCTGCAAACCGAGCAGCTGGAGCTATCATTCGTCGACATTTTCAAGTCTCCCAAGCTCGCCAACCTGGCCAAGATTGCCAAACGTACTGGTTCTGCTGGTCAAGAAGAAAAGGCCATAGAACCATTTGAGCTGCTTCGAGAGCCTGTTAAAAAATCGGATGTACTAGCTCAGGCTGCGCAACAATGCCATCTGGCTGAAGTGCATGTACAAGATGCGTATCCGACAAGTCCGCTCCAAGATGCGCTCATCACGCTCTCCATCAAGCAGCCTGGAGCATACGTTGCGCAGCATGTCTTAGCACTTCCTCATTCTGTGGACATAAATAAGTTCAAGGCGGCATGGGAAAAGGCTGTTGGTGAAATCGACATCCTTCGCACGCGCATCATTCAGTTGCCATCTGGGGATTTCATGCAGGTGGTGCTCAAAGAAGACCGGATTGAATGGCACGAGGCCCAGTCGCTTCAGGAAGCTCAGGCCGAGGTGTTCCAGATTCCATCGCACCTTGGTGACCGCCTTGCAGCCTACACACTTGTCAGCGTCAAGCCCAAGCAGAGGTACCTTGTCTGGACATTGCATCATGCTCTTTACGACGGCTGGAGTATCTACCTGATGCTACAACGTGTACAGCAAATCTACATGAAGGGTGCATCGACGATGCTGCAGACCCCTTACGCTCGATTCGTAAAATACCTGTCAAATAGGGACCACAGTATTTCAAAGGGATATTGGAAGGAGACTCTGACCGGGTCTGATGCGTACCAATTTCCTCGAGCATCACACGTCAACACGAAGAGCACACTGAACGGACAGACACTTCAGCACCATGTAAAGCTCGCGCCTCATAAACACGTTGACATTACGCCAAGCAACGTTGTTCGCGCAGCCTGGGCTCTAGTTCTTGCAGCCTATACGAACAGCAGCGATGTTGTCTTTGGAGAGACACTTGCAGGGAGAGACGTCGCAGTAAGTGGCATCATGGATGCTTGTGGCCCAGTTTTGACGACCGTTCCAACACGAGTGAGGGTCGATAGTGGCGCCACCGTGCGTGACTTTCTTCAAGCAATCGCCTCCAGAGTGACTGAACGGATACCACATCAACACTACGGCATCTCTGCCATCAAGGCGATAGGTGGAGAAGTGGCAGCCGCATGCGACTTCCAGAATCTCCTCGTTGTTCAAACAGAAAACGAAGCACTGAACGACTCAGTGTGGTCCGTGTACGACAACGGCAACCAAAGCAACTTCTTCACATACCCTCTTGTGATTGAATGTAAGCTAGGTGCATCGACCACAGAGATCCTATTCCACTTTGATGCGGACATTATCTCCTCTTGGAATGTTCAGCGTCTCGCCTACCAGTTTGAGTCTGTGTTACACCAACTCCAGACGGTGGCTCGCGTCAACCAAATCACCGTTTTCAGTGAGCAAGACAAGCAGCTTATTGGAAGATGGAATTCCAACGAACCTGCACTGATTGAAGATACTGTACCCACGCTTTTCCTGAGGAAAGCTGCATCTCAACCTGACGCGACGGCAATTGCAGCACACGACGGCGAGCTTACGTATGCTGAACTCAGCACGTATGCATCCAAGTTGGGTAAAGAACTTGTCAAACTTGGTGCTGGTCCCGAGGATCTCATTCCAATCTGCCTAGATAAGGACCGTTGGACTGCCGTCGCCATCATGGGTGTCCTCCTATCTGGTGCTGGCTATGTGCCTCTGTCTCCAGAGCATCCAGTCTCACGACATCAGCAGATCATCCATGCTTGCAAGCCGTCCATCCTGCTTTGCTCACCGTCGTACACATCCCGATTTGAAGGCATGGTGAAGCACGTCTTTGGTATTGCTGAGACTTCACTAAGACTTCTACCTGCCTGCCCACTTCCACTTCCGCAATATGCCAAGAGCAATAATACTTGCTATGTTATCTTTACCTCTGGTAGTACAGGCGTACCAAAGGGAGTGGTCATAGAGCACAGGAATGTGACTTCCAGCTCAGCTGCCATCTGCGAGGCACTCCACATCACACCGTCTTCCCGAGTTTTCCAATTCTGTGCACTGGTTTTCGATGTCTCTGTTGCTGAGATTCTCTCTACGCTACTCATTGGAGCCACAGTCTGTATGCCGTCCGATCAGCAACGCACCACGGATCTGGCGTCAACAATCACCTCACTGAGGGCCGACTGGGCTTTCTTGACTCCAGCAGTGGCCAACGTACTTGAAGGCCCCGATTTCGTACCTACTCTCAAAACATTGACTGTTGGAGGCGATGCAATGACTGCTGAAGTCATCAACAAATGGGCATCTAGGGTTAAACTGCAAAATGGCTATGGTCCAACCGAGGGCACCATCTTCGCTGTCACGAACGATCAGGTTTCTGTTCAGCGCGACGTCTCTAACATCGGGCGTGCCCTCAAGACCGGACGCGCATGGCTGACAAACCCCAACAATCCCGATCAGCTTGCCCCAGTTGGAGGGACAGCCGAGCTGTGCCTGGAAGGAGCACATCTGGCACGGGAGTACATGAACGACCCTGAGAAGACTGCAGAGACTTTCATCGAAAATCCTACATTTCTCAAAGAATTCTCTAGTGTTGCTAGAACCCGTATCTATCGCACCGGAGACCTTGTTCACTATGCGCCCGATGGGTCGATTCTCTACATCGGACGAAGAGACAACCAGATCAAACTCGCTGGGCAACGTATGGAGCTTGGCGAGGTCGAATCCAATCTCCAGGCCGATGGCACCATTTCTCAAGTTGTTGTACAGCTACCCAAGGCCGGCCCTTGTGCTAAGAAACTCACGGCTGTCATAAGCTTCTCCGGTAGTACTATGGCGCATGCGAAATCTGAGTGGAACACGCCACTTTTCGATACAGATACCCTGTCATTGATTAACCACGCAAAGGAAAGGCTGGTGGAGCTAGTTCCCCCGTACATGGTGCCTATCATCTGGATAGCTGTTCCTCGCATTCCCTCCCTGGCATCAGCCAAATTTGACAAAAAGCAAGTGAGCTCATGGCTGGAGAATCTAGAAGATGCCATGTATCAGAAGATTGTGCAAGCAGAACTCGCTGCGGATGTAGGTGAAATCAATAGCGATGCCGTTACTGTCCTTCGTCGGATCTGGGCCAAGACATTGGACGTCTCGATAGAAGACGTTAAACCAAATCGGTCGTGGTTGTGTAAGTACTCCGGTTTCTAAATTTTTCTACTTCAGCTTACTAATTGTTCCTAGCATTGGGAGGTGATTCAATAACGGCGATGAAGTTGATCGCTAAATGCAGAGCTGAGGGTATTCAAATCACACTGAACCAGGTCCTCCGAGCCAAGTCGCTCGCGCATCTTGCCGAGAGTGTGAAATTCACAGCTACCCTGCACCACGATGAAGAACAACTGGACAAGCCCTTCAATTTGTCGCCTGTTCAGCGATTCTACTTCGAAACTGCCGGCAATGAGCAAAATACGCACTTCAATCAGTCATCCACGTTGCGTCTCTCTAGGCACATTGAGCCAGCCGCTTTGAAGCATGCTCTTGACGAAATTGCTGCATGCCATGCAATGCTGCGTGCTCGATTCTTCAAGAACGCTTCGGGAGAGTGGCAACAGCTCGTTGGGCCGGTTGCGAATTCATACAACTTTGAGGTTCATCGCGTATCGACTGCGTCATCTGCTATCTCTGTCGTGTCGGACACTCAAAAGAGCCTCGATATCCGAACAGGCCCAGTCTTTGCCGTTAACCTATTTGACATTCAAGGCGAGCAGATACTTTTCATGGCGGCCCACCATCTTGTCATCGATCTCGTCAGCTGGGGCATGATTACACAAGATCTCGAGGACCTTCTCGCATCTGGAAACCCGGCCACGAAGCCACATAAAGGACTGTCTTTCCAGGCCTGGTGTGAGAGACAACAGGCAAACGCATTGGACACAGTTCAACAGCTGTCTGTGCGAAAGCAGCCACTTGTTGTGGAACCAGCAAATCTCGCTTTCTGGGGTATGGACACTCGACCCAACATCTACGGCGACGTTGAAAGAGACGACTTCAGTGTCTCCAGAGGTGTCACTGCTATGGCTCTTCAAAATCATCATGTTTTCAAAACTGACCTCGTCGACATCTTCCTCACGGCAATTGTTCATTCCTTTTCCCGTGTCTTCATCAACCGCAAGGTTCCAACCATCTTTAATGAGTCTCACGGTCGTCAGGTTTGGGATACAAGCAACATCGACCTTTCTCGGACAGTAGGCTGGTTTACAACGATGTATCCAGTGACTATCCCGATTGGTGAGGATGAAGATGAAGTTCTTCACACTCTCCGACAAGTCAAGGATACACGTGCAAAGATCCCAGACAACGGAAGACCTTACTTCGCACACCGCTTCATAACAGAACATGGGAAGCAGCACTTTGCGAACCATGCGCCAATGGAAGTCCTGTTCAATTACCTCGGCCATCAAGGGCGATCTAGCGCTGGAAAGTCTTTGCTACAGCCTACGCAGTTTGAGGGCGATGACGGAGACGAGACTTCGGATGTTGGCGTAAAAACCACTCGCATGGCGCTATTCGAGATTTCCGCGCTCATTTCTGACGAGGAGATCCAGTTCAGCTTCATGTACAACCGCCATTCGAAGAACCAGAAAGGGATTCGCAGATGGATGGCCGAATGCCAGCGTACTCTGGAAGAAATCGCGACTGAGCTAGCTAAGACGGAAAAGCCGCAGCCAACAATGGCAGACTTTCCTCTTCTGCCTCTGGAGTCATACAGTCGCCTTGATCGCGTACTTAAGACTCTTCCGAAAGCCGGTATTCCGTCATTTGATCTTGTCGAGGACATGTATCCCTGTTCGCCAATCCAAGAGGGAATGATACTAGGTCAAATCAAGTCACCCGGATCATCCTGGTCCACGATGATCTTTGAAGTCAAGGCCAGGCGAGGCGCAGTCGACCCCAAGAAAATCGTCGCTGGATGGAGGCAGGTCGTTGCTCGCCATCCAGCTTTGCGCACCGTTTTCGTGGACAGTGTTTGCAAGGGCGGCGTGTTCGATCAGGTTGTGCTCAAGGATCCAGACTCTGGTGTCGTTATATGCTCATGCAGTGACGCTGAGTTGACTGCGATGCTGAAGTCAATCAAGCACAGCTCTCTCAACGGCAAGAAGAAACCTGCTCTTCCACATCAAGCTGCTGTCATTCAGACTAGCTCAGGACGAGTTGTTGTCAAGATCATTGTTAACCACGCCATAATTGACGGAGGCTCGCTCGCAGTCATTGAAAATGATCTTCAGGAAGCATACGAAGGGCGTCTTTCAGGTGAAGGACCACTTTACAGCGACTACATCAAGTACCTTCGTGAACTTCCTAGCGATGAGGCTATCACGTACTGGAAAGCCAAACTTCGTGGCGTTGGCCCATGCTATTTCCCAACCACGGCTCGGGGTACCGGTCAAAAACGACAGCTCAAGTCATTCGATATGCGGTTCACTCGCTTTAGCGAGCTTCACGATCTCGCAGAGAGCCACAACGTCACATTCGCCAACATTTTCCTAACAGCTTGGGCGCTGGTACTGCGCTCTTACACCAAGTCATCCGACATTTGCTATGGTTATCTTACGTCTGGCAGAGACGTACCTATTCAAAATGTCGAGAGCGCTGTCGGTGCATTTCTCAACATGCTGGTTTCGCGTGTCAAGATGAGCTCGTCCTCTCAACTGCTACACGTCATTGAAAGAGTACAGTTAGACTTCATTGAATCGACTGAACACCAACATTGCTCTCTCGCTCAATTCCAACACGACTTAGGATTATCTGGAAAGTCTCTCTTCAATACTGCTGTCTCGATTCAGAAACGTTCCGGCCTCGATGAAGAGACAGGGTCGACTTCGGGTATCGAGTTTGAGCAGTTGGATGGCCATGATCCAAGTGAATTCGCCATCACAGTCAATATTGACGCTACAAGGAATGATGAGGGCGTGCGATTCACTTACTGGAGTGATGCAGTCACAGACGTGGAGGTGAAGAACGTCTCGGCTCTTATGTCGACAATCTTGATTCAAGCTTTATCCAACGCCAACCAGACGATTGGAGAGTTGGATGCTGTCTTAAATGGAAAGTCCAAGGTCCAAGGTCGTCCCACGCCTCCAATGCTACGGCCGTCCATTCTTCGATCTGGGTCAAGCATTTCTACCAAGTCAATCTCTCCGCCTGCTACGCCTCGAATCAACTTTCCAGATCTCAACCCAACGGTGCCTTCATCAGCTGAGGCGCCCGATTGGAGCAACCTCATTCGATCAATTGTCAGCGAGATGGTTCCTCAGATTGTCAGTCAAATCATAACTCAGAATAAACTTCCTGCGGAGACAACGTCCACTACGATCAATCAAATGACTAGTCAGATGACGGATATGCTGAGCAGGAAAGCATCTATGTCGCACCGTGCTGGCAACAGCGTTGATATTCCTAGTATACCAATGGGTTCTACCCGACCAGAATCTGTCGTCTCTCGCCGCATGAGCATTGTTAGCACATCGGAAAGCCGTATTCAAACGGCTGCCGATATGGTCGCTCACATTGGCACCTTTGCCACTGACAATTCAGCCAAAGTTGCTCCGGACTTTGTGGAGAAGAAGCTTCTCAGCTTGTGGAGTGAACTGCTAGAGATGGTTGAAGACACGATCGAGGAAGATCACAGCTTCTTCCAGCTGGGAGGTGATAGCATCATCGCTATGCGTCTAGTTGGCGCTGCAAGAGAAGAGGGATTGTCAATGACCGTTGCTGATGTATTCAGGAACCCAACATTCGCGGACATGGCTCGGGTGGTACGCGTCGCTGGTGAAGTCATCGACGAAGTCATGTCACGGGCTGGCGGCGAGTCAGTGGCTGACGGAGATGTTGGAGAACCATCGAAGCACCGACACACCGGATCACGTGGAAGAGCTGCATCCATCTGGAGCGACATCAACTCCATTGCTTCCGAATTCAGGATCGATCAGAAAAGCATAGCTCCTGAGGATCCGTCGGCTCCGGCTGAACCTGAAGTTACGAAGAACGACACAGTGTTCAACAAATGGCAAGGCTTCTCAAGCATCCAAGAACGGCCATCGACGCCACGAAAAGTCTCATACAAGGTGACAGTGCCGCCTCAGACTGTTCATGAGGGTGTCGAGAGCTCCAACCACAAGTCGGTGTCACTTCTCGGCGATCCAAATGTTGACAGTGTTATCTCGAAAGTGCACGTTTTCAAGGGCGGCATCTCTGATGTTTTCCCTGTGACGGATTTCCAAGCCCTCGCCATCACGGGCTCCATCATGGAATCGAAATGGATGCTCAACTACTTCTACATGGACGGGCAAGGACCACTCGACCTCCGCAAACTAAAGCGAGCTGCTTACCGCACAGTGCAGGCCTTCGACATCTTGCGCACTGTGTTTGTCCCCTATGGCGATCGCTTCCTGCAGGTCGTTTTGCGGAAGCTCCAACCCGAGTTCATGTATGAGCAGACCGATGATGATCTCGACACTTTCACGAGAGGCTTGCAACAAAGAGATCGCGAGATGGGTCCACGGATTGGCGAGGCCTTCATCCAATTTGTTGTTGCAAAGCAGAAGCAAACGGGCAACCATCGTATCTTTATGCGACTTTCGCATGCTCAGTACGATGGCGTTTGCATGTCAAAGATCCTCACTGCGCTCCAGGATGGCTACAACGGTCTTCCAGTCTCTTCTGCCCCAAGCTTTGGCAACTTTGTTCGAGAGACTGCCAAAACGGTGACTGGAGCCCACGAACACTGGAGAGAAGTCCTGCGTGGCTCCAAGATGACCGAGATTGTCAATCACTTCGGTCCAAGCTATCAACGCGCAGCTGGCCGCTCCATCACACTAGAGGGAAAGGTTACGGCGCCCTCGCTGAAGCGCTTCGACATCACTAGCGCCACCGTTGCCAAGGCAGCCTGGGCATCCACTCTCGCTCGTATCGCTAGCAAGGCTGATGTTGTTTTTGGTCATGTCATCTCTGGTCGCAATGGCAGTGTTGCCAATATCGAAAACATTGTCGGACCCTGCTTGAACATGGTGCCTGTTCGCGTCGTCTACCGACCAGATTGGACAGTGCTTGACCTGCTTCGCAACATTCAAGAGCAGCAGATCTTGAATATGCCGTTTGAAGCTCTCGGATTCCGCGAGATTACTCGTCACTGCACGGAGTGGCCTGACTGGACCAACTTCTCGAGCATCTTGCAACACGACCAGAATGCCCAAGCTACTCATCAGGTTATGCAACTAGGTGGCATCGAGTACACTGTCAGCGCTCTGGGTTCTCAAGAAGACTTTGCAGATCTATCCATACATACCATCTCACGACCTAACAATGAGATGGAAGTTCGCTTGACGTATGCCCCGAACAGTACGATCACTGCCGATTTCGCACAAAACGTTTTCGACATGCTTTGCGCCAACATCATCGCATTCTCTCAAGACCCGCGCGATCTTTTGCCATCGCCTTCCGAGCTCAGCTCCCAAAAGCCATCAACCATCAACCCTGAGAGGGTGCGCAAGAAATCTGCCGAGAAGCAGCCTATGGGTCTACCATCAGACACTGGTCTTTCTCGCGACGAAACCAACTCTGTTGCCGAGACACTGCGCGCAGCGTGGGAGCAGATCCTGCATGACGAGAATGGCCTGCCAGCACCCATCGAACTCAACTCAGACTTCTTCCAGCTTGGCGGCGACATCATGGGCCTAGCGCAAGTCGCCTCCATCCTTGATCAAGATGGACTCAAAGTCCGAGTCGAAGACCTTCTCGACAAGTCCGTCTTCTTCGATCAAATTTACATTCTCGCGGCAGAGCGAAAGAAGCAGATTGCGATTGAGTCGCAGAACCCCTGGGGTGAACGGATGAGATCGAAAGTTGAGGAGAAGCCCAAGGAGAAGAGAGGCAGCAGTGCATTGGGCATGTTTGCAAAGAAGATTGGGTTCAAGAGGAAGGACAGTTCAAAGGAAATGAAGGCACCGTGATGAGCATGATGCAATGTTGAAATGGTTTGAGAGGTTTTGTTCACTTGGGATTTTACCAAACTGGCGGCGTCACAAGGCTGTCTTGTCACACTCGTTTCCACTCTTTCCCTTTGTCTGGCGTTACAAATTGTCTTATTTGGGAATAAATAACGGGAGATGCATGGTTTTCATTCATTTTACTTCACTATCGTCTCTCCAGCTAGGCACTCCAATCTCATAGTTGAAATATTTCTTCAATCATAACCTATCGTACTACAACACTCGATAGCGAGATTCGCAAATAAGCTAGGACCTATTGGTAATCACTTACCCTTCACCAAACCTCTTGACATCTTCAACGTCCCTTTGCCCCTTCGTCATCCCCTTCACTCTCAGAACTCACCTGCTCACTCCCCGCCTCGCTATCCGTATCCCGCCCAGACTCCGCACCTACCATAGTACCCTGTCCTTCTTCGTCATCCTCATCTTCATCCATCTCCTCAAACTCCTCGCTCCCGCACACCATGCACCCGAAGCTCTCCGCCAGCCACGTAAACGTCTCCGTGCTGCAGACGCTGCATGTTGCAACATCCATTGTAGGATTGGGGTAGACATTATAATAAGACATGTTCTTTCCCCTGTACCTTTTACTGTACTTTCCTAGTGTAAGCCTGAGTATCTGTGTGTGTATATGTGCGAGAAGGTAAGCTGGGCTTTATCTGTGTCTTTGTGTTCTGTGCTGTTCTAGTAAGATGGTTGTTATGTTCTTTGTTGTACGGGGAAATATGTGGGGGATGAAGAGGGGATATAGATATACGAGAGATGCCTTTGTTGGAATGAGGGCTCTGTGAGAATGCGGGTGGGCTGTGGTTTAACAGTGCATTCACATGGGGTGTTTGAGTCAGACATTGTATAGTCACGGAGGTGGAGAATACGAGCGCTATACTACCTTTAGTATGTGCTCGTCTGTTTTTTACATCTTAATATTGATATTTTATCATATTTATAGATATCTTAGTATATTATTCAATGTTTTACTACATTTATTAATCTTCTCTTGTGCTATTGTATTGCTATCTAACCTTTTAATTCAATGTAGATATTTAAATATCTCATACGTTTATTATTAGAAGTAAACTATTTTGTATAGCTGAAAGAGATTGGAGAGCTATAAATAAAGCTTATCTACCTTTGTTTTATCCAAGATCTAGAACAGGGAAAACGAGATAATTCTTCGTAGTTATAATGTCTGCTTCCAGCTCGATACTACTTAAGGAGAGGCACAGCCTAGGCCTCTACAATTGGTATATTCTAGGGAGCAATTTTAAATCCTAAACGTGGATATCCAATTTCAGTATCGCATCGGGATTTGGCAGAGCTCACAGAGTAAACATTTCTACTAGTGCAACTACCATAATCATTACACTATAACCTTATAGAGGAGCCTACCGCCTAGGAACCATCAGCTGCCTACTCGCCAAAGTCTAATATAAATACATAGCAATGTTATGCAAAATACATGATCAAAAGTGATCTGGTATCCACAGTCTGGGCTAAATGGTTCACTGACAATACCTCCTATTCTCTCTGAGCATGGGCCCGAGCCACTACTGGTTGCGGGTGCCTAGTTCCTAGAAACAAAGATCTCGTTTACCATATTACCGCCTTAGCTGTAGTACTTTGCATGCGCTCCCCAACTGCTTGCGCGCGTTCAAAGACGTCTCTACAATATCCGTCAATATACATAGTAATTAGCCGTTTAGAACAGTGCTCACTCTTACCATATTGATGTATACTTATAGGGTTGCATTAGCAGCGCGTATAACAACAAGAATAGGAAGCATTTCAGACATTGTTGGAATATCATTATTTTTGGATAGAGCGGATGATATGCGGTGAGAAGGAATCTCATCAAGGTGAAATTTTGTCCATCGTACATACATACATTCCTAGACCGTCTATTCCAAGGAGGAGTATGGAAATTGGCGCTTACCATTGATAGAACAAAACCGAGATTTTGGAAGACATGGCTCTCGAAAATACTCCTATGTACCGTGCATCACGATGTACCACCTCAACATATATATATGGTAATTTACTTTTCGTTGGTACGTTGCTATTAATGTGAATTGGGAAATTAATCTTGAAATAGTATATTACTCTACTCACAAAAAATGAAAAATTTAGCAATTGTCCGTTGGTAGAACGAGAAGGAAAGTCTTTTCAGGTAGAGCTATGCTCTTACACCACTATAGTATTATTGTAGATCTTGAATCGTGATACAAGAAGATCAAGCTACGCTTCACTACCCTCCTGTCCCTGTTCTTCATCACCAGGCTTATGTCCATGCCCTTCAATATCCTCCATGTCCTCATCCTTGCCAGGCCACAGCACCTCCCTCTGCAAGACGCCCTTCACATTGAGTATGGCAACCCAAATCCACAAGATGACAAGTATGATAGTCATGGCGCTGCAGACACCCTTGATCCCCGGGCTTTCCAACGCATTGGCAATGTAGATCAGTGCAATCGTCATGCCGGCGTTTGGGAAAATGAAGCCCCAGTGGTTAAGGGTGAAATGCGACTCTTTAGCGCTGATGATGATGCTGACGGTGGCGATAGCGCTGAACCAGAATGAAATCAGCCACAGGAATATCCCAACAATCACTCCAATGGCTTTAAATGCGTCGCCAACAGGGAAAGAGGTGATGCCGAGTAGATTCTCAGGTACGTGTTTCGGAGCCTGCATACCGAGCGCAACGAAGGCATTGGCTGTGTAGGCAGCTGGGCCAACGGCCACGTACATGCCTGGTCGCTTCGGAATCTCGGGAAGATTGCTGTTGACCAGGCGGGTAAAGTACAGCGTAAGCATCAGGAATGCAATGGTCCAGCCCAAGCCCTGGAATGTGACGCTGCCAATGAATATTTTGAAGCCAGCGTCGGGTGGCTGGCTCTTGAGCAGAGTGCTGCCGAGAACCCCGAGAATCAAGAAGGGATAGATTGGTAATATCCACGAGGGCATGGCGTCGGCGACGGGAAGATGCCTTCGGTCAAAGATAACGTGATATTGGAAGACGCCGACCAGGATCACAACCGCGGCATAAAGCCAGTAGAGTACTTCCAGTGCTTTGACGAGCCATGGCCCAGTTGAAGGAACGCCATACAACTCCATGCAGTAGATGATGAGCGCAATACTGACAAAGTAGGCGCCGAAAAAGAAGCTCTCATATGGATGGTGTAAGCTGAGTTTGAGAGACCCGCGATTGTGTATGAAGCGGTAGGAAATACACGCAGTGAATGTCAGGAAGAGAACGATGTCCAGGATATAGAATATCTTTCCAATTGTCTTCAACCCACTGAAGCTATACGGCTGTTGCCCCAGGAGCGTCGCGATGGCGCCAGTAGACATTGTGCATTCGAACCACGACCAGGTAAAATGGTCCAGACGCTTCTTCCAAGGGAGATATGTGGGGTTGTAGTCTTCGCGTTGGGCGGGTCGGGGACGCCGTTTAACTGGATGGGCGCGCGACCGCGAAGACATGCTACTGGTAGCGCTGCCGTCGGCGTTGCTGCTGTGAAGCTGAGTGAGGCCTGAACTGTTGGGGACTAAGGAATCAGTTGAGCCAGAAAGTAGCACCGAGGGCGGCGAGGGCGTAGTCATTTCTGTGTCGTGTCAGTCACCACGGAGCGCTGCTGGCAGGCGAAGCAATGCCATGGTGCTTACGTCAAATTGGCATTCCCCTTTGGCCAAGCCAAGGCTGGAAGTCGAGATGTCATGCCAAGAGCGTGGGTCCATTGGCGGCCCAAAGCGGTATAGCCTCACGAGATCGCGGTGAAGGTGCAGCCATATACAACCCATCGATGCTCCAGCCTCACAGATCGCCATGCAAAACGATGACAACCTTCCGCATCTCTTTTGCCTAATTCGTCGTAAGTATTTTCCGGATCTATGTGTGATAGGCTCATTCATGGCGATCGAAGTTTCAGCAACCCCTGCGGTAGGTGATGTGCCGATGACGTAGCGGATCCTGCTCACTTTACCCTTGCCCTCACGACAACAAGTCATTTCCCATCAGTGCCGGGGCTTGGCCTTGCACCAAGATGGGGTTTTGTCTTGGAATCCCATGCTTCATCTAGGTATAATGCCGGTAATGCACAGGCTGAAGTCCGCAACGTTGTTCCGTAGTCTTGCGCGCACTCACATGCAGCCGCGATCTGCACTATCATGTGAGGTGCCGATTATGATGTCGACCATGGTAGATATTAACTTCTCATTTTACCTTTGTAATGGTAAGCTCAAAAATACATCTTTTGGGACTCTTGGCTTGCCATGACCCATGCTTCTTTCTCTTACTTTCTTTCACTGTCTTCGGTAATCCCATGATGTCACCTCTAACACTTCCAGCCACTGCGAGTCTTGCTTTCAACATCTACTTCGCTGCTGTATATTTCATTCGGTTGTTTTTTCGTTAGATAGAATAATGGTTCCGGGCTTTCACTGGCATATGGACTTTATCTCGCCTTTCCAATGACTCCTGTGTGACTGGCTTTGAGATCTCTTATTCATGTCCCTCCTTAGTATGACGAGGCAATGCATCACATGTCACCTTGATATTACCGAAAGTTGAATGATTACCCCTGACTCGATTTGTAGTGTACAGTTGGAATACTCGACGTCACTTTGAAATATGATATTTCAGCTAGTAACCAGGCAAGATTTCCCCAGAAGGGCAAGAATATACCAGCACACAGCTTTCGGATCATATCCCCATTGGAGGCGGTCTGACTCAATTTTCATTGGAAATCAATATTTCAAGGAATGAACTCTACAGTCCTTTAGGGATTGAAAAGACAAGAAGACCCACTACTTTCTCTCCTTCGCCGCATTGCCCAAAACAAGATATACAAGGACACCATATCCGAGACACGCAGTGACTCAATTTCACCTTGCCCCACCAAACAAGATGCCAACTACCATCTGAATCACACTCATCAAGGAGCCGCAACACAATGATGACTTCCAATGCAATGCGTGCAGCAAACCCTCGGATCTCCCGGCGCATTGTTTCCACAAGGATCTAAACACGCACATCAGCAAACCACTCTCTGTGCACAACCTCAACAGTAGAGAAAGCATGTCAGACTCACACCAACTCGGCAAGCACTTGCCCGTGCAAAACGTCAACTCCAGATTCCCATCGGCACCACACAACCGCACCGTACTCCCCGCCGGCTGCTTTCCGGCGCCCCAGACAATCTCCGGACACGTGGGTTCGCTCGGCTTGAGCGTCATGGTGCGGCCCGCAAAGCCATCACCGAAAATATCACTCATGTCGTACCAGACCTTTTCGCCGTCGAGGTTGTACGCGAAGATAGTCTGGCTGACATTGGGCTTGAAGATGCCGCCGTCGACGGGCGAGATCTTGATTGCAATGCCGCCGGACACCGGGTCGTGCGTGAAGGTCTCGCTGTAGGACGTAGACGGGGCTACCGTGTACTGCGGACTGATTTTGCCGCCGACAGACCACAGGTAAATGGGTTCTGGGCATTCATTCGTGACGATGGCGCGGCCGCGCGCGAGCACAGTGGTGAAGAGGAAGAGGGACCAAGTAGCCGCGCCAGCGAGGAGACGAGGGAAAAACATGGCCGTGCTGTGATAAAACTATATCTTCTGTATTTCTCGTCAGAGTCTTGCTGGAGGTAGGTAAGTAGCTAGTATCGCGATAGGCAAGAACCGTCGCAATGCAAACAAAACGGCTGCCTTGAACGGAACCAGTATCTCCTTCTTTTATACACATACTCATGGAACCACACACATCCATCCATATCATATCACACTACCTATACTTAGTACACGCACCCAATCACCCACTCACATCACCCCACACACCAACACAGGCACACGACAACACATGCACACAAGCCTCAGCCGTCGCCCAAACCAGCCCTTTCCAACTCGTGCTTCCCCCTCGCTCCCCGCCGCCGCCGCCGCATCCCTACGTATCCTCGCCATGCAAACCACAGCAACACAGGACCAAAACTCTAAAAAAAAAACGCCGCCGTTTCCAGACTAACCTGCCCTCCCTACCCTCCCTACTTAGACTCCTCCCAGCCCATCAAGACCGTTTGTTCTGTCGCACAAAATAGGCTGAAAATGTCCCGCCACCCACCACCCACTGCCACCAACCACTCATTGGCTCGCCCGGCTATTTTCAGCCTCGCGCCATCCCAAGCCCGCCCTGTAACCTCTCGTCTTTTCCACTTCCCCCCTGTGTTGCCATGCGCCGCCCCAATCACGATGCACAGCACGCGTTTAGCAATGCGGTAGTGGTAGCGAGTCCATCGGGGTATTCTTTACAACCCCGATATGAGATGTGAAAAAAAGGGGGGGGGGGAGTAGAGAGATGGCTGGCTGGCCATGTTAGTGCTGAGGGGGGTGCGAATGGGGAGCGGAGAGAGAGAGTGGTATCGAGTCGTGAGGGATTGTAGCACCCTGATCACGATCATTTTCTTTTTTTTGTTGTTCTAGGATTCTTGAAAAACTTGGGTTTGAAATTGGCGGATGGTATTGGTATTGGTATTGGTGATGGTGATGCGATACGATGCGATGCGACGTGGGATGTGGGATGTGGGAATGATGACCACGGTGGGATACCGACACCAATACGAGGGCTGAAAGTGTGGAGTGTTTTCCCCCTTTTTTTTTCCTTCGCTTCTCCTTCTCCTTCTCCCCATACTTCCCTCCGTAAACGCTTTCTCCGCATCATCATCATCATCGTCAGCGTTCCAGAAGACGCAAGTAACGTAGCAACAATATGCACAGAGCGAGCGAGCCATGCAACCAAGTACTTACCCACTATACCATAGCTTGGTACTCCGTACCCCGAAAAAACCCTGCCTTTATTCCCCCCCCCCTCCCTCCACCCACACACACATACACAAATTAATCCCCGTCAAACCCGTCAAACCCATCACTTGTCACCACCTGCGTGCCGTACCACATGCAACCTAACCTTTTTTTTCGTGTTCCACGCTTTTTTTTTCATATAGTGCTGCGTTGTCCAGGGGGTAGGGGTTGCGGTTTAGGGGGGGGTGCTTCTTTGTTTGCCTCTCTGGTGCGTCAGCTGATGCGCGCACCAGCTCGTGTTACTTTACAGCGATCTTGGTTTTGGACGCCTCGCACAGGGGGGGGGGCAAGCCCAGTTTACGAGGTGAAAGGGTTGGTAAAGGATGTATTGATTTTGGTATTGTGGGAGGAAGGATATTGTCTTGGGGTTGCAATGACGCTCATGTGAGGGTGTGTGATTCTATTTATAATTCGTGCGGCAATTGTGGGGGGACGCCTGCGACGGAGCAGATTCAGTGTGCTGCCGTGACCAAATCACTTCAATCTTCTTCATAACCGTCGAGAAGTTCAGGCAATGTATTGATATTACATGAAGACTCCCCTAATGCGATTTCAAAATAACAGATTCTTAAACCGTGCAGTCGTGAGACTTGGAATTAAGCAAAGAGTCTACAACCCGCTCTATTCAGACGGTGCACCACACGAGTCTCTCTCAGACTCACTAGACTGCAATCATTCATAGTGGTGCGCCTCCTGCTCCTGCTCATGACTGTAGCTCCATTTCAGCTTCATGTCAAGAAGCTTGAGCTCCCCGAGCCACCTCATCTCCACCTTATACATTGAGTCCAGCTCACTCTCCACTGCCCATGACGTACCGATGCTCCAACTCCATGCCACCCTTTCCCAGAACAAAGATATAAATGAAATAGAAATCCACATAACCAGCAACTGCTATAGCTGTCAGGGAATACATCATCCACGCTGGTTATAACTTGTTTCATACAGAGCTGACCGTCTTCAAAGACTCAAAGATTTCTTCCAATCCACCCTGCTCCAGATCGCAATATTGAATTCGGACGTATCGGATGGGGTTGCCTTGTCATTGTCGATGCTGGAGTCAGATCCAAGCTCCAGTTCTATCATGGTGCTCTCCAACATTTGTACGTCGTTTGCATCCGACTCGGTCTCTTTTGTCTTACGGCCTATTTTCCTGCGCCTCGCCTCATCTTTCACTGGCTCTGAAGCCTTCTTTGAGCTCTCAATGTCTTCAACGGGTTGCGCACGAATATGACTCGCTATGGGTACTACAATACCCTGGAAGGTAACTTGCTCCGGCAAGCACCCAAGGCTCCGCTTCACGCGAAAACTGAACTTGAAGCTGTCTAGAACTGATAATTTCTTAGCAGAAGAATACGTCGATGGTTCAAAATCTTACGGAGTAAGGGAGGTCCCCTTCGACTGATATTCCACACGCCCTGTACCAGAGTGATCCACTTGATGGCTCGACTCTTTTGGCCTTGAGATTTTTGGTCTCGGGTCGAATGGTCCTTCGCTTGAGTCTTGGTCCCATGAAAGAAGGCGCTTCGTGCCCATGAATCTGGTTCAAAAGTCGCGCTATTCATGAGTTGGAAATGGCTCCTAGCGTGCCGCAGAAAAAGCCGACTTCCAATGGCTGATGACCGCCGCCTCTTGCTAGCTTCTGTATTCAGATCTGAGATTGGCCTGCGGTAGGTAGAGAAATGTGCGAGCTCGAAAGGCGTCAAGAAGCGCATTGCCTCCAGCTCGCTGCGCATATCTACCGGTGTTTGCTTTGCTCCAAAATAGAAACGAACATCGATCTTCTTCTCCTGAAGCTCCATCAACAATCTTAGGTAGCTGAAGCGGCCCTTGTCCAGTGAATCGCAATGAATAATGGCCTGGTGAGATTCAACGTTGAAGAAGAGCTCGATGTATCTCAGATTCAGATCCTTGGCGTCAATCTCATTGATCTTCTTCAGCAAAGAAAACGTCCATCTGTTGCATGATCGCAAATGCAGGTGTGTGAGAGTAAGCGGCACCCGCTTAACACGTGCTTCTTCCCGATCCTGTGCCCTCCAGTCCTGGTATGTGAGTAGACGTTTCAGTCTCTCCGCCACATCTATGTTAATGTATTTGAAGAATGAGTCCTCATTCGTGAATGTAACATACTCCGGGCGGCCGAGTGCCTCCATCGGCACATCTAGGCGCTTCAGGCCTGAGAATCCATCCAGCGTGATGGTGTGCTTTCCCATATTCCTCCACTTGAGGTGATCGGAAGAAGGAATAGACTCCATTGTCATTGGTCCTTTCCATCTAGTGTCTTCGGCAATGGTCAGCGTCTGGAGTGTGCGGCGCAGTACCTGGAAGGCAAGTCCTTGGAACGGAATAACTGGGCGGAGCTCCGGATTCAACGAAGGAAAGGTTTGAGGCGCCATATGAATTGGCGGAGGTGGTTCACTCGATCGGAACTGCCTGGCCTCTGGCAGCTCAATAGTAACCGCTCTGATGTTCGGACACAAGATCACTAGCAGATTCAAGAAGAAGGCCTGGTCCTTTTGCCAAAGATGGCCTTTTCTTAGCTTGTACTTGCGCATTTGGCTCCATTGCACGTCACCGCCAGTGTTTGCAATTATGATCTTATCGAAAAGCTCTTTAGCGTCAGCATCGAAGTCGTCGTTGCCTAGACAGGTGCAGTTTTCGTGGTGAGAGCACCCAAAGTCGCCAAGGTCAACGGTGAAGACTTTCTGGATGAGTTCAGGGTGGCGCGCGAGCATCTCAAGGCAACCTTTGATTTGGTGTCGGCCAAGAACCAGATCCCGGACAATGGTCTCCTGTAAGATGCCATTGATCCGTTTGTTTGCTCGCGCGAAGCTGAAAATCGCCGCGCTCTTGCGGAGCTTGGAAGCTATCAAGTCAATCAACTCGGGCGGGAGATCAAGAAGGCATTTCCCTGTGGTGTGCTTTTTCGATGTCTTCCTGTCCTGGCCTGGAGCGGCGTGCTCAATGTACTGAACTTCATTGTACCCACTGCTGGAACTGGCCTCCGATATCGTCGTCTCGCGCAGAAGGTGCGGGATCGCAGGCGAAACACCAGGGCTCGCTACACGTCTCTTTCTGACACCGAAGTTGGATGGTGTTGATGGCGCCATTGCTGGAGTGGTCGGGGTTGTGTGAGGCGGGGTTTTAACAGCCCGTCGGTTGATTTGTGATTTCTTTTAGGCCGCTTCCATACTGCTCATGCGCTGGTCAGAGATCAACGTGGACATTTTAGTCCCGTGGGTTAGTCACACCTGCGGCAACCGCGGTACTCGCAGCTGACGTACACTATGTAACGTCAGGAAGTGAATGCGGCGAAGAGAAGCTGGAGAAAGGTCGCAGTAGACTCTGGACGTGATCAATCAAAGTATTGAAGAGAACTAGGGACCTCTCTTTGCGTGGCAAGGTCTCTGGTAGCAGGGCTCGTTCACTGTAGTGGGAGGAGGGACACGTCCCTGCCAAGGCGCTAGTGGCCCATTCGTCACTGCTGCCTGTTATCCAGGCACCCCCCCACGTGACGGTTCAGTGGATCGAGATGGTCAAGCTTTCTATTATCCAAGGACGGGAAGCCTGTCTGGACGAAACTCGGGATAGCTTCCTGTTTAGTGCATTGCGTGGAGCTAGCACGGAGACAGTCGGTCCTAAAGGTATGTCACGCAGCATTTATTTAGCATTAGCTTCCGGACCCAGTAGACACGGGAGAGTCTTGACAGATACCGCGATAACACACCGCTATTTAAATGATAGCGACCTCCCACACATGCGCTTCAGCAACACTCAGAGGATCCAAAATATAGCCTTTAACAAGACCAAGCCGCTTAAGCTGTACAGATACGAAGAAAAACAGGGATACAACATCAATAAGCCTATCAGCACAGCAGCCTGCGCTGATAAACGACTACTCAAGCCATATTTGTTCCTCTCGTGTAGAATATGGACTCCAGGGTGCCGGTTCGCGGAGAAAACGATCAATTGCAGCCAAACTAAGGTCATCTTGTCGTTTGGATGTATGTGTCTCAGTGTCCCTTTGTATGTGTTGTTGTGTTGCCAGATCATGGTATCCTCCTCTTCCCCGTTCTATGGCACCACTATCACCTCCAATATTGCTCTCAAACATCTTATCACCGACTAATTGATACATTGTCCTGCCAGGCTTCGACCCTTCCATCTCTCTTATGAACAAGTTAGGGCAAACTAAGATCGCCCTGTGCGGTTTCGATTGGAACTCTGGTGTTTGATGTGAGGCTGCAGGTCGATATCGTGGAAACTCGACGATGACACCGTCTGGACGTTGAACAACACGGTACTTCTTTGTGCCTCGCTTGGGTTTGCTTTGGGGATTCATCGTGACTTCGCAATTGGTGTTGTAGGTGTTGATCTCGCGACCCTGAGTGGTGTGGTTGGGTTCTGTGAAAGAAGGCCGTGGGTGCATCGGTATGCCAGTGTGCCTTATAGGTACCCTCATTCTGGAGTATGTGGATATGATATGTCGTCGGCTATGTAGTGAGGATGATGTACGCTGTGTCCCGGGTATGGCGAATGTCCTACTCATGTCATCGTGAGACAGAGATCTTTATACTCACAGCCCAATCTGTACAAAACGCACATGACTGTCGCGCCTCGCGAAACATGAACATTGTGCAGCGTCCAGAACCCTCCCATCGAGATCACAGACTCTCCACACTCTTCACCCAACCTTCTTTTGCGCACCCGGGCTCACCGTAATCCAGCTGCCTTGCGCACAATGCCACTGACAGTCTTGAAACCATGCCACAACGACATCATTCCTAGAGATATCGGTCACGACAACAGAAAGGTCTAGACTGCCAGCGCCTTTCGGGATCAACTTTTAGCCCCAAGGCGGATAAGCTCCGCAGCCACACCATGTGTTTCCCATGCTCTCGTGTACTTTTGGCCCTGACATAACGTCACAGGACGGCCAGGGCGCGGTGTTCTGGACTCTCCGGTCAGGCGTGGCGGCTGAGCATCTCGGTTCTGCCCTGGTGGTGCGCAGCTGAAACGCACAGCCTCCCCACACAGCAGCCCGAATATGATGTCATGCGCGAGGCTCACGACTTCTCTAGCCGTTGACAGGTTGTAACGAAGGGCGGTCGTACGGCATAAGCGCGAAAGAGCTGGAGGTCTAGACTTGTTAACGCGGTGTGGAGTGGAAAGGGTCTGGGGAGGGAGGAGGCAGAGGAGGAGGAGGAGGAGGAGGGGTGGGGAGAGCCATGATGTCATGGCGCGCTTGTCAGTGCGGGCCGCGGACCCTGATAGCAATAGCAATGTTAAGTCTGTATGAGCGACGCCAAAACAACGCCCGCCAACAGTATTCCTAAACGCATCGCCCGTGCAAGCATGGAGAATTTGGATGGCATTATGAAAAATTCATTTGGCAGTATGCGCCATTCCTAAACTATCGATGGTGTCGACTCCGCTTCAGTCCTTACATGGACGCGACATACATGGACTCCCAATAGCATCTGACGGCCGGGACCAATCAGGTATCGTACCAGTAGCCTACCTCTTGTAGCAATTGATAGTCTTCACGATCTTCTTCATTCTCTCCCTCCTCCTCATCGCCGTCAATGTCGCTATCATCATCCCCCTCTTCCTGTTTTTGAACATATCTTATGCATCTGTCAATACCAGTAAGAAGATCGCCAGTGGTGTACACCATGTTCGCCGGGGGCTTTTTGTTGCGCGCTTCGTCAAAGAACCGCTTGTTCCCAAAGGTAGTGACCACAGACACATGTGAGTCTTTCAATTTGGCGAAGGCATCTCGAACCTCTGCCCTGTTCTCCTCAGAGATGGCGATAGCCCACGCTATTGAAAGGACATTGTACTGGAACTTGAATTCAACTTCGCGCAGTTTCGGAAACCCATCCTGACACAGAATCAATAGGCTGTACCATTCCCAAAAGATCCTGCTCGGTTCGACGAGGAAGCAAGCTGATTCTAGTGACTTGGGAAGAGCGTCACCCAGGACTGCAACTTGTTCAGGTATCTTCGGCAGTGAATTGTTCGGCCTAGACAGGGTGATATTTTTAGCCAGGGTCCAGCACGGAACCACGAGCCGCTTGAGATTGCTGAAACACGAGAAATCCATGCACACGTCGAAGTGAATATTGTTAGGATTTTCCCATGTCTCGAGGTGGACCGTGATTTCTTCAAGCTGGCCTTGAATATGCGCCCCTGCTTCGTCATACGTCGGTTTTAGGCTGCCCGGCAAATCATAGTCCGTGTCGACGCAGGACATGAGCATGGCAGCGTGTATCATTGTTGTAGTGTCCAGGGAAATTTTCTTGAGGCCTCTTGTAAGGGTGAAGAGCGTAGCCATCGCAACTGCATGGCAATCTAAGGACTTGACCTCATTGCACGAAGCATGGTCAGATGTCTGCGCATTGTGCTCATGATCATCAGACATGGAGCGATTTTGTTCGGACGTTCCAAGTGCCAGTCGAAGGTGTGTGAGCGGTGCAACTAATCCCGGACGGCGCTCCAAGAATCTCACCAGAGTCCAGATACCGGCTGGCAGCACTGTTGCTTTTCGAATCAGGGTCTCCTGGGCGATCTCTCGCAAGTGGCGACATGTTAGGGATAGAGTCTTGAGCTCCATAATCTCCATGTTGCTCGCGATTCGGAGTAGCAATTCCGGGGGGAGTCCGACCAAGACCGTATCCGGGTGCTCCATCATGATGGGATTAGGTGGAAACGTGTCAGTGGTATTGTCGTACCTGCAGATCTTTTGATGAAGAATCGGTAAACTGTCTTTGGCTATCGTACGTAGGGAGGAAGATTACCTTTGTCGTTGAGTTGATCACAAAAAAGTATACGGAGTAGGAGGTAGTAAAGGTGCAAATTTCTCAGCGCTTTATAAGCGACTAGCAAACAATCTGCTAAATAGTGAATGTGTTTGAAGCACGTGATGACCTAAAACAGTCATTCAAAAAATGAACGGGAAGCGAGATCTGGCTGAGAACGCAGTATCATTGGCAGTGAATGTGATTTGTCACATGGAAAACGTGCTTTTGTGAAACATTGTGGGGGTTGGACGCGGATTTTGATACGATTAGCATTCCAGTGCACTGTTTTATAGTAGGTTTTGGACATTGTTCGTCGAGCGTAGTTCGTATTATGGTCCTAATCAAGTGCGAGGGGCCCCCATACTTCCGTTAATGATTCAAGACGTCGATAGTGGGCATTGGAGTTAAGGCGTCTACTAAGATGCTCACCATATATTCAATGCGACCGCACCAGCGAGCATGAGTAGCGCAGAGCCCCCGACACTGTACCTGGCAGCGGCACCCGTGCTCTCGGGTGGCGCCGCAGATGAACCGCTAGGCGTGGGGGTGCTCTCGACACTAGAGCTGAAAACCATGCTGCTGCTGCTACTGTTACTACTACCACTGCTGCTGGTCGCGCTAGCAGTCCTACTAGGTGTCGCCAGACTTGATTTCGCACTGCTTGTGGATGTGACGATAGAACTGGACTTGGGAACGCTCTCTGCTGTAGCTGACGCAGTTGGTGTCGTGCTTGCCTTCGTGCTCAACAAGGTGTTTCCTGCAACGACAGTAACAGTCAGGAATTTGACATCATCACCAGTGAATGATGCGGTGACGGCTTTGCCGCCAGTATCATCGTTTCCGCCCTTCTGGCTCACTGTGCACATCATCTCGACCTTTTTCTTGTTGTAATCGCAGCCCAGGCTCATGTAGACACTCTCGAAATCCATGGTGGCTTGGTAGCGCGTTTGCGAGAGGATAGTTGCATCCAGGCCGGGGCCCCAGCCACAGTCTGCGCTGTCGACATTGGTTGGGCATGCCATGCGGAATTCAGTCATTGTGGGATTGACCGTATTTATGGTCGCGACAGGGTCAAGGCCCTCGTAGCCTTCACAGGGTGGTGTTAGTGCGGCTCAGTCGATGCAGGGGCACACCAAGAGAGCACGGGAGACGAACCGCCAGGGAAGTAGAAGCTGACAACATCGGATGCGCTGACAGAGCTTGCTAGGATGGAGAGAATGGCAGTTGATTGACGCATATCGCACTTTTAAACGATGGATCTTCCGTAATACGAGGACAGGGATTAGGATATGGTGTAGCGAGGCTTTCGTAAGTGATTAAACAAGTGGCTGGAGTACGGGTGGGCGTAAAAGAGCGTAAGTTTGCAACAGCAAAACGAGTGGGACAACGCGGCGGAGCAGAAGGCAAGGCTTGCAAACATGCGCGCTGGTTCCAGTTATATGAAGCGCCGGGCGTATCTATCATCTGGCCCCCTGAAATTGATAGGAAGCGGTGTCCTGTTAGCCGCGGCTAGAAACCTGCAATTAGCGGCGATCTGCATGAGATGCACAGCCGCTTTCTTGAAAGATTAGCACCAAGACGTGCAAAATTGTCACGTGGGTCGCTTCCGGCGCTGGGAGATTGGGCCCAAGGCCGCGAGTCAGGTGATGTAAGGCCTGAGCCACAAACTCCGACGAGAAAAGATGAACCATTAGTGGGTCTTTGTAGTAGTAGATATCCGAGTCGTTAGTACCAACGGTATTCAGACTCGGCTGCGGTGCCTGATGGAGGTTGGGCTGTGACGCGGGAGCACCACCACCACCACCACTACCACATGCCACGTGAAAAGGAGATGCAGCATGGCCCAGGCAGGGAGGCGCGCAATTCGTGGCTGGGGGGTGTGCTGTCAGGAATACGCATGGTGATGAAACGCCCGCTTGGCCAACCAAGACAGCTTTGACACGTCGTTTGGTTCGCGGGCCGCGAGGCTAAGCTTCGAGATGCCTGGCCATGACGCTATTTCTGTCTCCATGGCGACTGGACGCGGGTTTCGTCGTGTTGCGGGCGAAATGCGGATGCCGGGAGGGTGCTTGTTGATGGAGGGTGGAGGTGGAGGTGGAGGTGGAGGAACAGGTTGGTTGGAGACAGAGGCAGAGGGCAGTCGCGGAGGACGAAGGATGCGGATGCCTACTTAGCCCCACTTTCCACCCCTTCGGCATTCCCACTGCTGCAACAACAGCATTATACCCGCGCCTCCAGTCACCAATCCTCCATCCTACCCACCGGTCGCTACTATAACAAAGTTCCTCGGCGCTGCTCGAGGCAATGCGTGGTTTACTCTTAGCAGGCATCTTGTTCGCAAGGTTGTGATGCTGAACCCCGCGCCCGACGATCCATCAACACGGCCAGATGGCATCCCCACAAACTCCAGCGACGAGCAGTCCACAAGGCCTGCTTATTTTATGGGGTTCTGTCGATCCCGCCTCAGTGGATGAGCGCGCCCTCGACGACTGGTGGACGAACGAGCATCTTCTCGAGCGTCTTCGCCTACCAGGATTTCAGCGGGCGCGTCGGTACCGCGCGCTCAACCGTAAGCACGGACAAAACGAGTATCTTGCCCTTTACGAAGCATCCAATGTGTGGGACCTCGCCTCGGACGAGTATCTGTACGCACTCAACCATCCAACAAAAAGGACAGTGCAGTTTATGCCATGCCTCGCAAAGATGAGCCGGTTTGCCTGTAGAAGTGTCCTGTCCAAGGGCTCACCGGTTTCAATATCAGTCGAGCCGGCCAACACGCAGGGCTTGCTATTTATGGTTGTATACCAGGTCGATAACGGAGGGCTGGATCGCGACCCGTTGCGGGTGATCGGTGAACACCTTGGCTGCGGACAGAGCGGCGCATGGGCAGAGATAACTTATGCTCAACTGGCCAAAGTCGACGAAGAAATCACCAAGATCGGAAGTGCGAGCAAGTCTTACAATCATGTTCAGTTTAGGTCTCCGCAAGACGGCAAGCACACAGACGCAAAGAAGGCGGACACGTTCATCGCGCTTTTCGAGCTCCGTCCCAATAACACCGACAGACTGATAACCGAAACCAGCACCATGAGCGAACGGCTCAGCCACAACAGAGACATAACGGGGCTTCACATAAATCATATCAATGCCTATGAGCTCATCGCATCCCTCAGTGGGCCTCTCAGTGAGTGCTGATACAGCCCCGACGTTTCCGCCTACGCCTACGTTGGCCGCCTTACCAAGACGAAGCGCATTCAGTAACGCGCGCCCCGTTTCTAGGCACCCTGGCCAATCGCATGTCCTTCACGGCAAAGCACATACAAGCCTAGTAAACGCAGATGCCAAAAATGGGACGAGGCGCCAGGGATATGCATTCCAGATCGCCCTGAGGCGCAACCGGTGAAGAGAGAATCCGATCCATAAAGCTGCTCCAGCATCCACATTGTGTGCAGTTATTCGCATCGCATTTTCCAGGTTCCACGCGTTAATCTCTTTCACACCACGTCAAAAACAGTATCTGCTTTCGAAATGCGTATTCCACTTACCTTCACTGCGACGACATCTCCGCGCCTTCGTGCGCTACAATACGCCCAGCTTGCTATTGCAAGTCTTGTCGTCCTCGCCTCCTTCATCACACTCGTTCTCCCAGACCGCCACAAACTATTCACTTTCAGTCTCCTCTACACGCCCCTCCTCACCTCTATCACCACTGTCTTCTTCATCACCCGCGAACAGAAGCGCGCAGAAGCTGGCACTCTGTCCAAACAGAAATATGCCAAGTACCAAATGCTCAAGATGGCGTCTGCCTTCGGCATGTCGATTGTAGGCTTCATCGGATACGTTTCTAGTGCGCCTGCGGCGGCAGACCAGGATAGACAGAGGCCTGGGGAACAGGGCATGTGGATGAACGGCGTCAAGATCGGAACATGGCAGGGCATGCTACTGTGGCTTAACTTCTTCAACTGGTGCGTTGTTTTTATTTCTACGAATATTATGGCGTCTCGTATATGCGTACTAACGAAGATGTAATAGGGTCTTCCTCTGGGCTAGTTTGTTCTACTCGTGCTGCATGACGGGTAACAAGCGGGGTGCTATTGCCCTTACCGGCGATGAGGCAGAAATCACCCTGGACGTGGATACAATCAGTGATGAGGAGATTGCTCGCATCCAAACTCAGGACCGCAACGAGCAGGTATAATGAAGGTTTATTGGAAAGGCATTCGTGGCGTCGTGTCGACGACATTTGCCAAAGCTCATCCAGCTTCTTTGTATCTCCAGGTAAAGTATAAACTCGAGTCACTCAAGTAGCCTACATTGTCAAATAGTATTAGGATTTCGTATCAATCTCATCAAACTACACAATGCTATTTCGAGTAAGCACAGGCATACAATATACCATTACAACCACACTGTCTCCCCGCACATTACACTGCCATTACCTCCGTCCCCATCTCCGTCTCCTTTGCCACCCTACAACACCACCGCCGCCCACCCCATTATACCCGCCATCACTCCCATAACCGGGAACCCCACCCCACCCGCCGCATCCACAAACAACGATGTCGAACTCGGCGTTCCAGACACAGACGCAGTTTGGCTGCCTCCAAGTCCCGTCGTTGTCGGCATCGGCATCGGCATTGTCGTCTCACCACCAAAAGGCTTCCCACTCCCACTCTCCTGCGACGCAACCCCCGACGACAACAACGACGATGACGGCGCGATACTCGTGCTCCGCTCGCTACCAACCACTGTACTGCTAGCGCTACTCTCAAACGACATGGTAGACGGAGCCCCTGTATCCAGCGGCGGCGCTACCGACGACAACAACTCTGACGGCGATGGCGACACCGACACCACCACGCTACTCCCCAGGCCCACACTCTCACTCTCGACCACCAACGACGGCTGCGACGCCCCCCACGAGCTCACCTCCACAATCCCCGTTACGCTCCCCGCCGACGACGCGATAACAGGGACAACGGGTATCGTGTGCGTAAGCGTCAGCGTCATTGTTGTCGTCGTCGTGAGACACGGCGATGATGCACCGTGTACATGCTGCATACTTGATTCCGACACTGGGATCGGGATAATGGCCGAGGACGAGGGCGCCGGGTAGCCTGGGGGCGGGGCGTTGAGTATGAGATTTTCTTCTGATTGGGGGGTTAGTGCCGTGGAGCAGAAGCAAAAGGAGAAGAAGGGAGGTGGATGGGAGGAGAAGTACCATAGGATGCAGCGCTGGTTTCGGGGCTGGGCTCTGCGTTTCCGAATATGGGTTCTAGAGCCTGGCTTGTGGATAGTGCGGTGAAAGCTAGGAGGGTGAAGGATGGCTTCATGGTGGGTATGCGGGAGATGGCGATGATGCGGGAAAAGAAAAAGCAGGATAAGTGAGCTTGTATGTTGGCAGTGCATATATCGTGACTACTACCAGCCTCTTATGTTCTCACGCAGCCTGCAAGCAAGAAGGAAAGAAAGAAAGAGAAAGATCCGCGCGGCAGACTGAAGTGCGAAGTAGTCATTGCAGTTTATACTAAATACGCTTTATAACCCAGCGTTCAACGAAGACCCTCCTCCCCTCCCGTTATTTTTGTGCGCAGCCCCAAGTACCCTGTTTCGCACCCATACCATCATGGGCCGGCTTGGAGGATTACACAAACCGGGCATTGCAATTTCCCCTGCTCGTTTCTTTTCTCTTTCTCGCCTGCCGATGCGGATACCACGTGAATGCGCTCTTCCTTGGAGAGAGAGAGAGAGAGAGTGCTTCGTTGCACGGGATAGATTGCCTGTAGCGCTTGTGTGAGGGGACGTGTACCCCCGTTTCCATGGAATCATGGCTGCACAAGGTGTTGAGTAGAGAAATGGGCGATTTGCAGCCTATTTGGATGGCTAAATGTGTATTGGGAGAGCGGGTATGAATGTTGTGTTGCGATTCGATACAAGAGAGCTTGTGTGCGCTGGGGCTATAATGGCTTGTACGAAGGGGATAACACTCTGTGGCACATTACAGTGCGTGCTGGTTACGCGTTGGATCCTGGGTTGTGGTACAGGGTCCGCGCGATGTTGCAGTGAATTGTAAATGCAAGAGTACTCGGGCGACTGGCACATTGAGGGATGGTTCGATGGTATGAGTGTCGTAGAGCTGGGATTTCCGCTACTCTCAGTCCGTAAGAGTACATCGATGAACCAATTTTGCTAGTCTCCATGTAGACAGACGAGTGCGCTCGGTGCGCGGTGGTGCCCAGTGTAAATATCATCCCGTAAGACTAAGAGCGCGCCAGAAAGTGGTGAGATCCTCGAATGTTCACGCGAGAGCGCGTAGTGCCCAGAACCCCTTGTCGTATAATACATGCGTCGGATAGAGCGGTTCAGAACGGGGATATGCACGCAGACGTATTTGTCGAAACTCTCGTAGCTATAAGTGGTCGATATTCGTTAATGACACCATCGTTGCAGTCCTCATTCAGCACCTTTTGCTCGAGAATGCGAAGCCAGGTGATATGGAGCTCTTACATCGTGCCCCTGCTGCGAAATCCCCATCTCTTCATCGATGTTTTCTCTGAGCACAGGACCTTTTAGTCCGGCTTCATGCGCAGCCCTGTCATCGTTGTCGCAACCGCTTCTCGTACTGGAATTGTGCTCCAAGGACTTGAACTCAAGGTCGGTGAGCGTAGTAGTTCGTGTGGAAATGTTTCCTGGCTCTATTGATTGAGCATCTTGACGTACGAATTTGTACGGGTCGCTGCTGAACAGGCTGAGGATAAGCGCACGTTTTGGCATGCGGACTTCAGAAAAGAGGTTGGTGATGGGTCTCGTTTCATCGGGTGCCAATGCTGATGCGACAAATAGAGACACGTTGGGGTTGGAATTTCGCTCGTCCAAAGCAATCATTCTGATGAGGTGAGCCATGGACATCTCAATGTTGAGTTTGGCTATGTAAGCCAGCGGATGGAATATAGGATAGCTGCAAGGTTTAGTTCGGATCTGCTATTAAGCACGGGCTGTAACCTACACCATTCCGTTTGGGATGCTCATTGCGGCAATAATCAAGACATCGAAGAGAAGAGAGACCACAATCATGCGCTTGTTGAAGCGAACTAAGCGGTTGTACTTGGTCAAGCCATTCTTCACTAGCTCAGCCTTGACTACTCGTATGAAATACCAGTTCAGGTAAACGTCAAAAAGCAAATAGAGAATTTTCTCGATTCGGTCCCAGACATCATTGATTCGTATAAACCTTGGTTCATGTTAGTGACCCTGACAAGGTAGGTTGTGAAAGAAATACAATACTCTTCGCTTATCTGAAGACGCGCGGGTATCCATACGAAAAACACGCTAATGTTGATCAGAGTGATGAAGATTGCCGAGCCTATAATAAGACGCTTTCCTTTCTTTCGATCCTGCATGATAAGACAAATGCGATTGATAATGATCTGAGGCAGCATTTGGATCTGCACTACCCAACAAATGACTAGTGATGTTAGTTTAGCCTGTGTGAATGGTGGTGTAGCACTTGCATGTGCCTGTGTAAAAGTAGAAGCTCGGCCGGATGACCCACAGCAGAAACAACAAACAGATCATAGCCAGGGCCACCGAAGCAGCCAGCTCAAGCCATATCATCCAAACGTATGGACATCTCCACGGCTGCCGGGAGGCTCTAGTTTGCCTGTAACCGATAAAAGCTGCACATGAACCAAGGAGGATGGCCAGTCCGAAGATCGTAGACGATACAATCAGATCTAGCCGGGTCACCGGCGGTACTTTGAAGTTGTGCCGTACAAAGGGGCCCCAAGCAACATAGCTTGAGGGTGGAGCAATATCGTTGCTCATAGAGCTCTCTTAGAAGGCATGTATGTCGGTCCAGATGGGGCGCATAGTCGGCTATGGAGCGAGCCCTGGGAGGGGGAGGGAGAAGATCTAGAAGAAAGACTCGATATTTGCTGAATCGGTTAGCTGCGCGAACAGTTCAAGATGACAGAGTCAAACACGCTACCCCACAAACTTTAGGACCAAGATGGGGATCTTCGACATAGACCGGGGGCCGTGCGCATGAACGATGCGTGCCAAGTTTGCAGTTTGGGCGAGGTTTTGGTGGCAAGAAAAAAGCGGAGCACAAGTGGGTTAAAAGTCTTTCGAGAATATAAGGGAGCAGTGAGAAGTCACTGATTCAGGTTCCCACCACACACACGACTGCGCCATTCATGCATGACAGTCAGCATGCGCTGGCACTTATTGGCCGATATGCCAAAGGACGGACTGGCTTCGGTGTAGCTCTGGACTTAAAATCCGCCCATTCTCCTTCGGTCTGACGGCAGTTTGCGCTGCCATTGGAGGCAGTGATTATATCTACGCACAAGCACATTGGCAAGTTTCCGATTCGTCTTTTGGTCGAGAGGGCGGTCTCAGGCCTGGAACTTTTCCAAAGGGCCGGAAGAGGGGGATGTAGTTATTGCGAAGAGCGGATGCATACAAGGTTTGGATCGGTCAGTCGCTATTGAACATTAAGACCGTGAATGGTGTGATAGGCTAGGGTAGTGGTCTGACTGCGATAGCTATGCAGGCCAAGATCCGAAGGTCTGCTAGTGCTTAACACATTCGACATGGCAGATATACTATGTGGTAAACTTAACCGAGATATCCGCCTGCGGATTGCATCAGATCAAAGTATCTTCAAACTGTCGGTCTAGGATTGAACAGCGGAGCCATATCATATCGACGTCTGCCGTAGAATTTGGTCGATACAAGCCTGGGTGCCAGTAGATTCTTCTAGCTGGAATTTCTTGTTTCGTGTTCGATGCAGCTTAATGCGCGGTGTTCATATATCTGCTCAGTGTTACTCGGCATCCTTTCCCTGTGTAACTTTGCTGTCAGCTGCTACATGGATAAAAAAATGCTTCTCGGCGGAAATATGCCTCCGACGATCATGCAGAGAGTTCCTTGAACTTTATTTCGCCCAGCTCTTACTTGCGTCCAGAAAGAACCTGACCAATATAACGCTGCATGCATTAATTCTAACATGTTATGCATATCATATTTGTATGTGTGTGCACACTCCTTTTCAGCGCACTAATTGTGCTTGCTATCCGGAGTGGCCGATACTACAAGCAGTGGATACAACCTTTGTCCACCATCAGATGATTGCGCTGCGACGAAATCAAGCTGTCGATTTATAGAAAAGGGTCGTGACGATGGAAAAAAGATTGATGTTAAGTTAAGCGAAAAGGATCTACACATTGTGTCAGTATCCTTGTATAGATGTGTTAGACACTACAGTGATTTGCATGACGCCTAGGCTCTCTTCCAGAACAGGATGTATCTGCTGCTGATCAGTACAACTTAAGAGTACATGGTGATCAAGGGTGGTATATATACCACTGAAGTAATCTCTTCGCGTAGGACTAGAGCTCCCACCAATTCCTATCACAAAGCCATAAATTCGTGAATTTCTGCATCCTAAAGACAGGTTATGTGAAAACAGGTCCTTTTCTGATACGCGTAGGCACCTGACGGCTCGTATCGAAGTCACAGGTACCAGAATCAAGCTCAAAACAAGAGAAGGAAAAGCCTGTTTGACCATACCAGTTCAACCCTGTTGGAGTCTTGTTAAAGAGGAAGCTAGAATTCGCGATATCGAATGAGATTTTCGAAATCTTTCTCAGTAGACATGTCAGTGAGTATCCGGGAGGACAGTGGAAAGTTATATACCTTGCTAGCACACCCATGAGTTCCTAGAAAACAAGAAGGCTAGGTGGCCTATCAATCGTACTGAGTGATTTGACTCCATTTTAAGCGGAAATTGAATCTTTATAAACCCACTGCTTGAGATCGAAGTCCATGATACTTCCTAGAAAGAACAATCAGTGTTCAAATATCGTCAAAACATCGCTCATACCACCACTCTCATGTCATCTCGAGGAACTCTTTTCGTCGATGTATTGTTGCAAGCATAGTAGTTTCTGCTGCGAAAGTGGTACAGAAGAATCCTCCACCATTCTTAATGTGGCTTTTCAGGTATCTCTTGCGTGGTAGAACCACACACTGCAAGCAACTCACTGGTATTTTAGTACCGGCGACAACCGCAGAACCTGGTTAGTTTCCCGCAGCTCCTACAGTTTTGGTTCCACTGGTAGAGGGATAGCGGAGAAGGAGATCAGCGGCTTATGCACATCATGCTGCTGGACTGCCGATTGTGTTTGTAGCGTGCTCAGAGGTGCGCATCGGATGCTTCGTGCGGGATCAACTAAACGCCACATAGACGACTGGTTTATGCATGGTTACTGATCCAAATGTGAAATGGAGTAATCAGGAAATGGCATGGTTGCATTATCTGTGACTTGTTTGGCTGCTTGTCGGATCTTATCTGTGGGTTGAGCCGCTCCGCGGCCCCGCTATGCGCCAGTGTAAATAGGTGTAAACGAAGCAGTCCAGAACCCCGAAATTTTCAATTGTAGGTTTCTCTCCTGCGATTCTCGAATACTGTCTTTATTGAAGAGCCTTACGAGTTGTGTTAATTTTGTGAATTGTGCGCCGGCGCGATAAAGCAGGGTTGCCCATTTAGAGAGCGCAACCGAACCAGAATGGCGCCTCAGACATCCATACCACTGGCAGCAAATGTGCTTGGCACACTCGGGACTGTGTTCTGGTGTGTACAGCTCATACCTCAAATATGGCGAAACTACCGGACAAAGAGCACTGTGGGGCTTCCAGAGTCGATGATGCTTCTTTGGTCCATAAGTGCAGTTCCGTTCGGAGCCTATGCTATAGCTCAAAAGTTTAACATTCCGCTCGTCGTACAACCCCAATGTTTTGGGGTACTTCGTGGTGTTAGCTGGGCCCAATGTCTTGTATACACCCGGTATGTTGCATGCAACATGGTATTTTTTTTTTGTTCCATTAGAGTCTAGTGAGCTCGAGGCTATGTAAGACTTTGGCCGAGGCCGTTCTAACTAGATTTATTTACAAATACGAGTTTGTGCTTGAAGTGTGTCTGTGGTGCTTCGGCCTTTGTCTAGGTAAGCGATAGCTATCGCTTACTAGAC